ATTTACATTTTAATTTATATTATATATTATATATATATCAGCCCGTCCTCCAAAAATGGGGATGTAAATGTAACAGCTCCATAAGTGCAATTATGTACTATGTATGACAGTCAAGAATTGTACTTATTTTCACTTAGTATTAAATCGTACTGTCAAATATATTGTGAATATTTAAGTTTACCTGAATAGAAAATCACGATCTAACCTAACCGTCTTAGTTTTTGAAGATAAGCATTTTATTGCTTCTTAACCCTAATGGCTTCAACACCCACAGGCACAAAAAAAAAAAAATCCAAAAAATTCTTTCTGTGTGTGTGTGTGAAAAAAGTGTTCATTTGTATTTCCCCATCACGGAAAAAAAAAATCGTAGGTGGCATATTTTGGCCACAATCGGGTGGAGAAGTGTGGCAAAAAAAAAAAAAGAGGCGTTGACAGAGCAGTCGCCATACGAGGTCTGCTCCACCCGAGCTGTCAAGCGGCAGTTGTCACAAAGATATTATTACCTAATTATTTCAATGTCTCTGATTTTTTCTTTGTTTTTTTCAGTACAGCTGTAATTTTATTCAATAGTGTGTATTGTGATACTGTATATTTATATAATAAAATGTGTGAACCATCGTTGTACTCAAAATTATGGTGTGCATATTAGTAATTCAATTATTATGTTCAGAAAACAATAAACAAATAATTTTTCTGTTATTACACTATATGCACAGGTTATATATAAGTATCTGCATGTTTTGCTCACCATAACGAACCACCAAGTTGGTATTGTGTGTGAAAAAGCAATGAGAAGTGACTGCCACACACCAGCCAGCCACTCGCTGCTACTCCCTCCCTCAACTACACCTCACTTGCCCACATTCTCCTCCCACCATACTGTTTTTTGCATTTATTCACAATACACAGACGTTATATATAAGTATTTACATGTTTTGTTTACCATAACTGTGCATCTAAGCTTGTATGGTGAGTAGAGGCAATAAGACGTAGCTATTCATACAGTCAGCTTGTGGCAGCCGCCCTCAAGACCAGACGCATTAATATTTTTCCCCCAACAATACTGTTTGTGGTGTTATTACACTATATACACATTATATATAAATACAGTGGCACCTCGACTTACGATTGCCCCTACTTATGATAATTTCGAGTTACGATGTAAATTTCATCGAAAAATGCGACTCGACATCTGATGGTGTCGTCGACTTACGATATTTGTTGGTACACGTTTGGGTCGACCGAGCACGTGGTTCCTGGTCACGCGGCCGACCTGCCTCAGTTTACTACAGCTACCCGCTTAGTGACGATCGAGCTTATAAGAAATTTCGCTTTTGTGGTGATTTTTTGCATTTTGAACATTAAAGTAATTATTATATATCACGCCATGAGTCCCAGGAAAGTCAGTGGTAAAGCTCAACATATGAGATTCCATTTAAGGATGACCATAGAGCAGAAACAAGAGATCATTCGTAAATATGAAGATGGTGTGCGGGTTTTGGACTGGACATGTTGCAACCCCACAACAGTGAATGCCACTGTGAGTCACCCCGTTTCCTGGAAATGATTTTCTCATCGCTACATCGTGCCATTGTGATTTCTTTGACCCACAACAGTTGCTTAGCTCCTTGGTATCTATTTACTGCTAGGTGAAAAGAGCCATTACGTGAAAGGAAATGCACGCAATTATTTCTTTCCTGCCCAGGAATCAAACCCAGGATCCCCGATTGTGAGTTAAGAATGAAGCCGAGACCCTTAAATATACTACAATGATGCAAGGGGGAATGAGTACTTAAATGGTCACCCCACACACAAAAAAATGCATCCCTGTATATCTGCAGTGCAGATGCACATCATAAGCATTCAAGTGGCTCCTAAGAAAGATATGCCTTTCTTTAAGCCTGAGAAGTTATGAAATTAAATTTTGTAGGATAAGAACAACCCCACGAACTGGACATTATTTGGACAAATCGCATGATAGATAGTTTGTAGAGACAAGTAAACAGTGTCAAAATATATTGTAGATGACTAAATGACGTGTTCACTGACAACATGGTGCACATGCATATACAGTATTAGGTGTTTATTTTATGAGTAAATGTACAATATCTAGTTTTGTATAGATAGGTTATTTTTGTTAAGTAGGGTTAGGTCGTTTTGACTGAGCAGAGCTGTTTTCAATAGTATACAGAACCTGGCATCTGCCAGGGCAGTACATGACACCAAAAAATAATCAAACATATCAGCTATGGATGTATCTTGTGTCTAGATGATTTTGGCTGAATACATATTATGAGGTTATGTTACCTTATCTTATCAAATCCAATAAGCTAGGGACAGAGCAGCACCCCCATGGGCATGAAATCTGGTTATCCTAATAGGAGACACTACCATAACCTACTGGTGAATCTATCATCAACCATATACGATATGTTGAATAGCATTAGTCATTAACGATGTTGTCATCTTGTTTGCTGAATATAACACTTAAATCTTCACACATTTGTTATCACTTACTATATAACTTCATCTGGCTGCATGCCATGATATATACTTGTTATATATAGAATATGTAGATACATATGTTGCACTGTTACATACATTACCAATACTGATTATATTGCTCCAATATAACCAGGTTACCAGCAATATCTAGGGTGTATCTAAATTTTGAATTCATAGAAAGATTTTGTTATTAAATTTTCTTTAAATATTCAGATTACATGCAATAAAGTTACATATACATATCTTATGTCATGTAATCCTTTGTGAATACAATACTATGGCTTCATACTATGGCTCAGAGAGTGTTACATGACAGAAACAGTGTAAATGTAACTTCATGATACATAATTTGAGCATTTCATCAAATAAAAACTTAATACTAGAAAGTGGCCCGAGTCTTGAATTTTCTAATGCTGGTTTATATGTCATAAAGCTGGTTTTCTTTATATTTATCAAATGAGGACATAAGCGAGTATTAAAGATTTAACAAATTACAGTACAATAAACAAAATTAGCATATTACCACACACAAATTCATAATTATAATACAGTAATGGAACCCACTTATGAAGATATCAAACTTTTCAAAATATGGCAGTGTTCCTATGTCATACATGGTCTCTATCTTGTCTGCCCTACTCTAATCTAAATTTAAAATACTACTGCTACTAATACTACTACTACTGAAGTTTGATGAAAGCATTACAACATTCTTCTAATATCAGCTTATTACTCAAATACAAGTTATCAAATAAAAACCCAAATTAAGTTTTGTACCAAAAGAGAGTTATTTGGTGTTGAGGACAGCCCAGTAAGAGGCAGTGTGGGGTGTGAAAAGATATGTATGGAAATGTTTCTGCTTTGGTTCCAGGGTCGTCATCATCATTAAAGAAGATTATGATTTTACCTGAAAAATCTCTCTTTTTGTTTCATAAATTAATTGACTACTGTACACTTCAAAACTGAGACAAAACTTATCAAAAGAAAAATCTAACAAATAATTCCTTTGTATAGTATAATTTTTTAAATTGTGAAAATTTTCTGTTTTATGTATACTGTAGTAACTTGAGTTTATCAGTAGTCAAATTATTCACTTAAGGGTTGCTTATACGATAGTCCACTGACAATGAAAACCATCTGCTTCTACATTAACTTTATGTATACTGTATATACTTTTACAAAAATCCAAACAAAAAATCCAATGAGACAAAGTATAGGAAGTTTAAGTTATCATTAGCATTATAGTGTGTACTGTATTCAAAATAGACCACTCTTCTAACAGAAAATGCACCTAATAAACGAAAACCTGAAGTTTCCTCAAATGATGGCCAACATCTAAAAATACAAGTGCCATACTGCCAGGCACACTACTAGGTTCCTAATACTAAGACTATGATAATCACAAGAAATCAAGTACAGTACTACAAACAATCCTGGGTACATCTAGTGGAAAATGCTTCTGCTAAACAAACGTGAGTGTGCAACACTTGTGCATCTGCTTCTTTAAATCACATAAAGTTACTGGCTCGGTCTGCCTCTCTCTCTCTCTCTCTCTCCCAATTATCAGCTCATTAATACTGGGTGGACCACACCAGAGGTATGTTTTGGTCTCATCTATACATATGTGGGCCTTACATAAATTCTTCTTGAGAGTCTCCTGGTAGTGCCAAACAATAATTAGAAGCATCAGCCTGACAGAAACACTGTGGTATTCATGCTGGATGAAGTCAACCATTATTACTGTGCAATTGTTTCTGAGATGAAGAAACAACATACGGGATATTTTTCTTGTGCCACCGCATAATGCATACTTCTTTAATTACCATTCATGTTATATGTGTATATCAATGACAAATATAATTTACCCTTTAGCCATTATCATCTTATAATTGAGAGGAACATTGGAAAACACATAGATAACTGTATTAGTGTATGTAGGCTACTATTGCTAATGTTTGGGTTATCAGAGAAAATGATGAACCTGTGGTGGAAATGTCTGTTGTTAGATTGATGAGATACAAGTACAATCTTAAAGAGGCAGATCAAGTACCTACTCATGTTACACTCAACTAATCTGCATGCACATTGAAACAAATAGAAATAAATCTGTATTAATTTTCAACCACTATGAGAAATAAAGATAAGAAGTGTGGCTTCTTTCCATTTCATTAAAACTTTGTTATTTTAATGCTGAGTCTGCCACAACCTCTTTTTTTTTTTTGCTGTGGAAGCCCCTGAGCAAAGGGCTTAGAAATAGGTGATATTCTACTCTGAAGACGCTGGACCAAGCTAAACGTTGTGTATGAAACCAACCTGAGCAGCCCTGGAGCACAACAGCCAAGCAAGATAAAATAGGAGAGCCCAAACATGATCCAAAAATTAGATAAGGAAGAACACGAGAGGCAGTCAACAAAGAGAGGTGACGAGGACGCTGACTACGACACCAGAAATGGGTGCCTAAATGAGGTCCTCCTCGCCCTCTCTCCTGTTCATACCTTGCTGGTTGCGAAGAGTAGTCCCACACCCTCCATGCACACCTGCAGGAGGCCACCTTCACCAGTTTTCATATCTTGAACAGGAAACTCTCCACCAAGCTCTACACCAGGTAGGGCTCCAACACCTCTTGCTGCAGCTCGTTCCATGGACTCTTTAATGCAGTAGTAAAGGTCTTTACACTGCAAAAATTACAAATTAAATAGATCAAATTAGTTTTTTATAATGCATGAAGTAGAGCAGCTTTCCTCATACTGTACAATATTTAACATTTTGCAATATTTTTTTTCCACCAACCTCTTGGCCAGTCTCCTTACTACTGGACAGTTGTTTACTAAATGAAAAATAATAATTCAGTTTTTATATCTCAATATTCAACAACTCACTCAAATCCTATAACTCTTTCATCAATATAATAAAAATGTTTGATTAATTCTCATGATTTATACTTTACTCTTCCAATTAGAGTAGTTTTTCATTTTTAATCATTTATTTATTCTAACAATAAATTAAACTTTCCATAAATTTATTAAGACACTGGCATAAGTTAATAATCCCTTGGCTCAGTGGCACACAAATAAATTGCAAATAAATATAAAATATTAACCTTTTTTGTGTAGTATTTGTGTAGCTGGGTTTGGCCTCCATTACGGCGCCACAAGCAGAGAACTTTATTCTTGGGTGAGTATGTCATGTTGACTAGCCGCTCAAACCACCACCGCTCAACAATAACTCCTCCAACTGATCTCAAAATAAGGCCATCATCACGAACTTCTAGGAAAAGTAGGTCTCCTGTAGATAAATGGGAAAATGCAACCAAATATTATTAGCTAATTGCTGAAAAGAACTGAAGAGAGTATCCAAATCACTTTTCCAATTTTATATATAAATCCGGTGTTGACTGTCTTAAATATGTATCTCTTTCCACTCAATTGCTCTCCAATGTTACGATATGGAAGCGGCCAAGCCTCGGGTCACACAACAGGATTATGAACAACGAGATGAAGAGAAGCTTTGAAATCAGAAAGCCGACTAAACACACACACAAAAAACACCAGAATGTTAAAATGTTACAACACAAGCAACTGCTTGGAGGAATTTGTAACTGATGAATATTATGTAAACAATCATTACCACAGCAAAATCAAAGCCTAAATGCACTCACCTGCCACCAGATGGCACAACCAGCAAACCAGCGTCCTGGGGTTACTCAGAACACATGTTCGAGTACCGTCTTGTTCCAATAATTTTCTCATAGATATATCATGTTATTGTGATTGCCTCGCACATTTGAAGTGAGTGAGTGGTGGAGAGTGCCATTACCTGCACCAGTGTGTATGTGGGTTATATGTAAAACTTGGATTGGCTACCAGTTCGGTGCCTCCAGACTCCTAGCGCATCTGAGCGAATTCCAGGTTATGTAATCTATAGAATATCATGGTCAATGGGTTAAGGTGCACATCTGAGGTTACCCAGAGCACTGTTTCCATCCCTGTCTTGCTCCAATGAGATATCTCCTAGAGATATACCATGTTATTGTGATATCACTCATTTGCTCTTGTTAAAAGTTCAATGGATCCTAACATTGCTCCCAGGCAAATTCAGTCACTGGATGATGATACACCAGATATGGTCTACAACTCTTTATTAACGCCCTGGAAGGGACTCAAGATGTTTATACAGTATGGCAAACGATTGACAGAGGTCTCTAGTGTCAAATGATGTCACCCCTACAATAAGTTGGGCTTTTAAAGAAAACGAGGTACCTTAAATCATCTTCAGGTGATTGAGGCATATGGGCCAATCTCTCTCAAGTGATTGGAGCAGTGTAATGGTTATGTAAATCTATGTAGACCATTTAATTTGTCCTTTGAATTATTTTTATGTGAATTTAATTCATTTTAATGCATATAATGTTATTTAATTATTATACAGTATTCGTTAAATTTATTTATTTATATACAAGAAGGTACATTGGGTTTATGAGAGTACATAGCATTGATGTTTTTACATTCTTGTAAAGTCACTAACACACACAGTGTTTCAGGCAAATCTGTTACCCTGGTGTAGTTTTTTCATTACCCAGTCTTATTTACCCAAGATATGCTATTAATTGAACTGTACTGTACTTGAATTACGGGTTTCCTTTTTATCCTTCTGCTTTACAGGCCACATAACTCCAGGTCACATCATTCTTACTTTCTCTGGCTCAATTTAAGTACAACACATCTTCCTTCCCACCCCCTACTTAGCAGACAATGTTACGGTGCCTCAACAAGTTTTCTCAGTCTCGATTAATTATTAACCTAACTCTTCCAAGTTCTCCCAAGAAGATATGTTTCTTAGACATTATTTTACCATAATTACTCAGATTTTGGTATGTTTTGTGAGCTGTGTTGTGTATTTAGTGTATGTTCTGTGCAATGTTTGGTACCGATGGAAAGAGTCTAAATTCTCATCCAAGCTGAATTCTTATTCCATCAGGACAATTTTTTTGGACAGTAAGGATGAGAAAATGCTTTTCCTAACAAGTCTTCCCTAAAAAATTTGCCCCTTTACACCAAATAACCACAACGTCCATGCTTTGTCAGGTGCTTTTGAGTCTTGGCTTGTATCTCTGGGTCCCTTGTTTAACTCTTATGCTGCTCTGCTATTAACAGCCTTCAACACTGCCAGGTGCAAAAAAAAAAAAATCAAAATTTGTTTTTTGTCTTATAAAAGTGTCCATTTGTGTTCCCTGAGCACGAGAAAAAAATTTATTATACTTACCAATGACGTAAATGAGCTGAGAAGTTAGGCAATGACATCATGCAAAATGCTCGCTCAAGCTCAGAAGCTGGTGATTCATCAATCACCAGCTTCTGAGCTGGTACGTAGATATCTCTGAACTTTCCAATAAGTTGATTCAGAACGTGCCTCACCCTCCAAAACCTATCATCCTGTGTCTCGTCTTCATTACTTGCAAAATGAAGACACCTGAGTATTCTCAAAAATCTGTCTCAAGACACATATTTCCTGAACAATGGTGTTGTAACATTCTGGTCTTTGCTCCAATAATAGTTGATTACGTGTTTGACACAATGTTTCATCAACATACACAGTGCCAATAACACATACATTTCACCTACAATTGTATTTTTCCAACACTGTAATCATAAAAATCTGATAACTCCTCCCCAATGAGATCAGCCACATAAATGTTTCCTTAACAATATGTTCCATGAGCAGCTCATTAAAATATGTAGTAAAGAAGTCCATTTCACACATTTCATCATCATTATCAGGGAGAAAAGACCTGTAATTCCGACACCTGTATCGTCAAAGGCGGGAGTTTCTGGAACAAAATCTTCCCCATCATTCCACACAAATACACCTGCTGTCTTCTGACTGGCAACAGCAGCACTACGGCGAGGAATGTGTGGACCAGGAGCTGAAACCTATCTATGCACAGTAGGGTTGGGAAGGTACAATAAGGGGAAAATTACTTGAAGATGAGGGGGCTTTGATCATCATTGTCTCCATTTGGTGCCATGTGCTAGACTGGGTGAGATGCTACTGACGCGACAAACATTCACTTGGCAACACCACTGGCACTAGACAGGCGTGGTAAAACTCTTCTCTGTATCCAAATCACTAAAACCAAAAAATGAGTCACCTTCCTCAGACTCGTCGACCAAAACATCATAATCTGGCAAAGTAGCACATGAACTATGTGGCTGGGCACGAAGTGGAATAGAGTGTGGGCGAGGAGGCATGAGTGAGAGGCTAGGCCTGCCCTTCGTGGCACCCACATGTTCACTTGCACTGTCGGTCGTCTCCAATTTTTCTGACTGCATGTAGTCCTCATCTATGTCGGAGTCATCAATATCAGGTTCATAACCCTCCTGGAACAATTCCTGATGAATTTCATCCTCAGTCAAAGATTGGGTTGCACACTGCGCTGAGAGTGGTCGGATGCTGATATGTGTTTAGCTCGCCATGACCTCGGTCGCATAACTGAGGCCTCCACACAATGGCGGCCTGCGCTGGATTTTTTCCAAGATGGCGTCCGTTTACTATCGCCCGTGGCTAGTGTATGGGCCCCCCCCCCCCTGTATCTCGTGGAACATTTAAATCGAGTGCTAGACCTCTTCAATCGTATATATACCATGTGCGCCATTCCGTGACAGTTACTCCCATCATATATGCATGTACTGCGCCATTTATGGGATAAAGGGGTCCAGTTTTGAATTCTTGTTTCAAGAATTATTCTTTTGCCAATTTTGTCAATTCCTGTAAGTATTTTGTGTGTGGTGATCGTACTGCCTTTTTTTCTGCTAGCTTTGGCATATTTAATGCTTCTAGCCTCTCTTTACAGCTCTTACTTTTCAGTTCTGGTAGCCATTTCATAGCATGCTTTTGTACTTTATGTTCCTCAGGTGAACATAAAGAACCAGAATCACCCTAGTGGTTCATTGTGTGTTTACATGTTCTACTATCCAAAACCACCCCTAATGGTGTGGGATACAAAAAGTTTTATTTCCTCCTAGAGATAGCCCTTACTGCCTGGCTTCCCACTACTAACTTGTTCAAGCTCAATCTTTCACATCAGATGTAGAGGCTCCTGGATCATCCTAACAGTAACACTCCTGGATCATCCCACGGAGACTTTAGCAGCTCCGTAACGTAGTGGTAAGACGCTTGCCTGGCGTTCAACGAGCGATTTGTCCTGGGTTCGTATCCTGGCGGGGAGGATTTACTGGGTGCAAATCCTTAACTATAGCCTCTGTTTAACTCAACAGTAAAATGGGTACCTGGTTGTTAAACGATTCTTCGCGGGGGTCGTATTCTGGGGAACATAGGATTAAGGATTTGCCCGAAATGCTACGCATACTAGTGGCTGTACAAGAATGTAATAACTCTTGTATATATAAATAAAAAAAACTTTACCTGTATGGTGTACCCTGGGCTGCATCTAGCAGAGGGTTCTATAATGACTTCTCCACTCTTACATGCATCATTGATTCACACACACAAACACACACTTTTATGAACACAACTAACCTGATGCATCAGTACCAGAGTGGACAGTAAAGCTCTGGCGGTGCATCTGCCGTGATCCCAGAGGTCTTAAGTCAATGTCATTACCATGCTGGGGAAAAAATATTGGAAGGGTGGTTAAATTTCTTAATTTAATGTAATTCAATACTAAAGTTAAATATATGTATAATATATACATTTATAAATAATGTAAAATTAAATATTCACTGTATCTATTTGTAGTAAAACATTCATTAACAAAACATAAATTAATTACGATAATATTTTGTTCAAAATTAAAATTCTTACCAAGTTATTTATCTGGTCAAGCAACTCGTTGACTTCTTGACTGTACACAAGACCAATGTGTGACTTGCCAAGTAGCCTGCGCACCTTCCTTTTGATATCTTCTTTTCGAACATTGACCATTACCATAAAGGCTACGAGGTTGTAGAGCATTGTGGATAGCAATCTGTCCTCCTCATGCTCCAAGCGCTTGCGTTCAGACTCACTCAGATTATTGTATCTATAATAAGAAGTGGATTCAGATGCCATGTTCCAAAATTATTTCATTTTGTCTATTTATGTACACTATATCTCACATTTTCCCCTCCAGATACTCCCTTTCTTTAGAGAGCGGAATCATGTAGGATATTTCCATGATATTTTAATAAATTAATAATAATTAAACACACTATTATTATGTATCATCCTAGAAACTGTACATACAGTAGACAGCCCCTTTGTTCTAATAATAACGCACCTTTCCATCATTTCACTGGGTCCCTGATCCATACCCACCATATCTCTCTCTTGGGCAACAGCATCAAGGAAGCAATCTTCCCAAAACTGCATCTGGTCCCATAATGGTGATCGCTCCTTACCTATAAGACCTGAAAAAGAAAAATGCTTTCTGCAGTCTCAGTCGTTTTCAAAGAAAATTGCATTCTGAGTGATACGTAATGTGATTGTTCTTGTTCACCTGATATCTCGTCTTATACGAAAGGACAGGTTGCATAAATACCATGTACAGTATACTTTACAATCTCTCACATGCCTTTTTCTATAAGTTGTCTCAAGGCAAATATCTGATCTACACACTTTATTTCACCACAGAACCAAACATGTTCACCACTGAACATAAAAATAAGAGCTACAAAAACAAGTTAGAGGCATTAAATATACAAAACTAGAAGACAAAAGAAAAAGAAGCGATATGATTACTATGATCACCGAACAACACATCAGAAAATGAAGAAACGATGATGTTTCTCCATTTTCTGATGTTTGGTTTGGTCATCATATCTTCAGCCTTGTCAATGTGACTCATTGTCTGGATATGATCACTACTTACAAAATAATTAAAAGAATTGATTAAATTGACAATGAAGAAGTTTTGAAAACTGAAACTTCAAGAACAAGAGGACATAGGTTCAAGCTAAGGAAACAAAGCAGCCAAAAAAACATCAGTAAGTTCACTTTTGCAGAATGGTAGACAGTTGGAAAAAGTGAGGTAGTGGTGGAGGCCAAACTCGTCAGTAGTTTCAAAGCATTATATGACAGAGTGCTGGGAAGACGAGACACCACAAGAGTAGCTCTCATCCTATAACTACCCCTTAGGTAATTACTGAACAATCTCCCAGTCATTTGCTGAATTACAGTATTTCCATCACTATCTAGTCATATACTTTGTCCACTACACTTAATAAATTAATGTCTCTATAATTCTTTCATTTGCTATATTCTCCTTTACTGTTATACAATCACAATTTGTTGTTGTACAATCACTTCTCTTTTCCTACCCTCTAGTACACTTCCACTAGTCCTCACCTTCTTCCACATTCTCTTTAACATTATTATTTTTCTTGTAATGAGTACAGGGTGGTGTATTACATACAGGGTGTTGTATTAAATACAGGAGGATGTATCAAGTACAGGGTGTTGTATTAAATATAGGGTATTGTATTAAGCACAGGGTGGTGTATTAAGTACATATGGTAAGGTAAGGACATAAGTGTTGAAACTTTCAAGTTGAAATGTAAAAGGGTTCTACAGAAATGACAAAGAACAACAAAAATATCTTGCAAACCATAAGGTACCTATACCAGAGATATCTATAATAATCTAACCTTCAAAGAGGTAAGTTCTTCCTGAGTCTGGAGAGGGAGTAGTGGATGTGGGAATCATATTACCAGCGTGATATCTGAACCCGGTTGAAAGGGACGACTTGCTTGACCACATACTGGACGTTCTCTTGGAGCCCCGAGGAAACTGTAAAATAAGAGGCACAAAAATGTTCACGAAATGATTCTATAAGTAGCATTTTTTTCTTTAATTCAGTTTTGTTTAAATTAAGTTACCAGAATTCATGGTCAGTCTGGGTTTAGAAAAATAAAACACAATGACTGAATGATGTATTATATGCACAATGTTTCGTTCCTGTTTGGAACATCTTCAGATAAGATATGGTGTTAATCATGTATGGTATGGGGAATATCATGTATGATATGGGGAATATCATGTATGGTATGGGGAATATCATGTATGATATGGGGAATATCATGTATGGTATGGGGAATATCATATATGGTATGGGGGAATATCATGTATGGTATGGGGGAATATCATGTATGATATGGGGGAATATCATGTATGATATGGGGGAATATCATGTATGATATGGGGGAATATCATGTATGATATGGGGGAATATCATGTATGATATGGGGGAATATCATGTATGATATGGGGGAATATCATGTATGATATGGGGAATATCATGTATGGTATGGGGGAATATCATGTATGGTATGGGGGAATATCATGTATGATATGGGGAATATGTATGGTATGGGGGAATATCATGTATGGTATGGGTAATATCATGTATGTATGGGGAATATCATGTATGGTATGGGGTATACCATGTATGGTATGGGGTATATCATGTATGGTATGGGGAATATCATGTATGGTATGGGGAATATCATGTATGGTATGGGGAATATCATGTATGGTATGGGGTATACCATGTATGGTATGGGGAATATCATGTATGGTATGGGGAATATCATGTATGGTATGGAGAATATATAATTGGGTAGTGCTGAAGTAGAGGTTAGGTGAGTCAAGCCACAGAGCTCAGATGCTGGGGAATGGGCGGTTTTTTTTCTGCTGTGACGTCACCTTCCACTAGATGGGATCTAGGCCTCGGTGTTGGTAGTGAGGCAAAGTTGTTGTTTTGTACATTTATATTAGGTCTTTTTCTCTTCGATGAGGATAGCTTCCAGAATTTGTAATCTCCTACCATCAGTTGCAAAGATCAAGTATCTCTGTGTGTTCCTCAAGCATTTTTCTAGTGAGTGCAACATTGTGGCCAGTTCCCATATGGTTTTTTGGAGCTCCTGACCACTACTACTAAACTTTCAAGAAGATCAACTTGGCACCTACAAGCATGAGCTCCAAGAAACGACTTACAAACTAGCCACTATGTGGCACTCACTAGGAAAATGCATGGAGTTATATACAAAATCTGGGCTGACTTCAGTAAGGGGCCTCCAGACATCCTGTGGATTCAGTGGAATCCTAGGTTGTATAACTTATATCATGTCATGATCCAGAGGTAAGGTGCACAACTTGGGAATGCCCAGGATGAGGGTTGGATTCCCCTTATTACTTAAATTTTCTCATCGATATATAGGTATCATGTTAGTGTCATTTCCTTGTGTGCATGTGATGATACTTTTGAATCAAGTGCATGATGAGCACTAAGTCATTTCTCCACTAGAGCCCAAAGAGAGTAATCAGACTGCTATTTCTTTTTTGAGACCCCAACATGCAATAAGACTGTCACTTCTCCACAGGAGCACCATGAGCAATCATATGATTAACCTAATACCTGTATAAATGATCTGGAAAAAAATAAATATATAAACAAAAATATGAGCAAAGAAAAGCAATGGTCACTTACATTGCCTTGCTCAATTTCAGAATCAGAGACAGTGGATCGAAATGATTGATGCGAGAGACGTTGCCGCTGGAAAGCAGGGTTTGTTATGATGGAACCCGTATCACTAGCACCACATGAAGGAGGCCCCTCGGACCCCTGTAGTGTGTCTCCTGCTTCAGAGTCCTGAAAATTCGACAAATTTCTACTTGTATAACAAACTAATGCAAATAAGTATTTTTAACACTAATCCAAGTGATTTCTGTACTGTATATGGTTGTTTTCTATTTTAATTTCTATGACTAACTTGACCACTCTGCAGAGCAACTGAGCAATACATGTTTTGGTATAGGACACCATACTCTGAGGATAAAGGGAGAGAGATGTAGCTTGAGCTTTCCAAAAAGCATGGAGACATTAATAATAATTTTAAAATAATTCCTATGATAGGCAGCCAGTGTATATATACATGTTAGGCCTTATATCAAGGTCCCAACAAGGTCAGGCTACTGACCCTCTCCCAGGATACACTCCCACAACAAGCTGACTAACTCCTGGGTACTGATTTACTGCTAGGTGAACAAAAGTATTAGGTGATAGGAAATGCACCCAAACATTTATATCCCACTTGGGATTCAAGCCCAGAATTTCTGACTGCGAGCTAAGAACAAAGCCGATTGTACTACTGGGACCTCAAATATATGGCAGTATGATGCATCTGAAGATTTACAAAGCGTGAAACAAGAAGAAACTAAAGGAACAAGTCTCATTTTTGGCCAAGAAGGTAATTAAGGATGAAGTCGCACCAAAGCATCACCTCAACAAAAATGATAAAACTAGGACATTGACAGACCAGGTGGCTCCAATGCTAATGGAAAGGACAGATATGAAATACTGTACCTCAGGGTCTCGGTTAACTTTATTACATCCATATAAATGCATTATAACCATATTTACATCACTGGTATAAAACCCAGGTACAATAATAATAATAAATGAGTGGTAAATAATGGTGCTGCATTTTGAGGGTCAAAACGAAAAAGCACTATCCTACCTTTCAGTGTTAGTACAAAGCAAAGGCCTTCTACTGATGGTGCTGTAAACTTGAATAATACTTTAAACATTTCTGATCACTGGATTCTTATAATAACATTTTAATATGATCTCTAAAATTGAACATTGATATGCTCACTTGAGATTGTAGCTTTGAGAGTAAAACGTGCCTCTTCTGCACCAGGATGTCACGTAAAACATCCGAGGCGGCTGACTCAGCAGTTTCAGTTTCTGGTGACCTAAGAGGGTCATGAACCACACGAGGACCAGATGAAAGAAACGGACTATCTGAAATTTTCAATAAACATTGTTGAGTGCAATGAAACACCATTTTCTGGGTGAGCCCCGGATGCTCCCTGGAGCTATCAGGCTAATATGCGTTATATTAGACTAGGGCATTAGTCAGTGGAGTTCTGCCTATCGGGGACCACGAGCCAGAACCTGGCCCCCTCAGAGAGGCACAGAGAGCAATGGCCCCTGGAAACCCCCCTGTGGTTGGGGTTTTTCCTAATCTGCCATCGAATGGGGTTAGGCACCCAGAAAGGTAAGCATAACAAAACAAACCCCACATGGTAAGAAAATTGCAACCGAAAACTGAACAAGAGAGGTAGAACTCCCAGAATCCCAAGGAAAAAAAGCAAACAAGCAAACGTCACACCTCACAGCCGCGCCGCTAGTCCATGTAGCCCTCCCCCTTCCTAGGAGAGGGAGGGGGGGGGAGCCCCAGACCCCCTGTGCTGACTACTCAGCAACTCCAGTTTGGAGGCTAAGCATCAAAACAAAGTAAAAACCACCAACCGGAGGGAGGGAGGGTGCCAGGGAGCCTCTGGGGCTCACCCAAAAAATGGCATTTCATTACATTCAATGCTGGTTTTCTGTGGAGCTACATAAACAAAGATAAGGAAAAGAGGGACGACAACTGGTTGCAACCTGCGACCCAAAGCCACACACGAACACCCAGAACCAGGAATGTTGACCAAATAACATGGGGCCAGAACCCTGTTCAACCTCTAAAATTCCAGCGCTCGAATGTCAGCTCAAGACATGTTACCGAAGACGGCTGCCAGAGCAAGGACTGAAGAGAATCGCCGTGGTTTAGGTAATGATCCATTGGAGAACAGTCCGAATGGAGCCAGATAGTTGAACCCCAAGCGGCCAAAACACTACCAAACAACGGCCAAACAGTCACAAACTCCCGCACCGTGCTGTGAGCCCGAAGGAAGGACAGACCCCACCACCCCTGGCCAGCCTGGTGAGCACTGGTCACAAAGCTCCAGGCAAGAGATGAAGCCTCCGTGAATACATTGAGCAAGGGCTCAGGTAAGCACGAAGGCACTGAACCCTGAAAAACCCAGAGGAAGCCGGTGATACAGCAACCGACGGAAGTCCCACGGAGGCCGAACCCAGTGATTGTGAGAGAGGCAGAAATAAGGGGCGTCCCCGAAGGAACCAGTATAGACGCCGAAGCCAAACCTGTCCCAGTGGGTAAAACAGCATGGTGAAGTTCAGACTCCCACACAACTGCTCAAGCAACCGCCAAGTGACCCAGGAACTCCCCAGAAACAGCTAAAGGCGGGACTGCAGCTGCAACGACGACTCCAGAGGGAGAAACATATAAGCGGTCTGAGAGTCCCAAACAAGACCCAGCCAAGTCTGAACCTGAGATGAAACCAGACAGAATTCACAGGGTGCTAAGAGAAGGCCACCGCCCCTAAGCGTATGCTGCCCCGGTACACGTATTACACCTGGCCACCACACCAGTAAGTTGCAGAGAACACCACTAGGGCAAAACACTGCCAAGAAATTGAGGCCAGAGTTGACAGCCACCCTAGATCGCATTAGCAAATGAACTGGAGTTGCTGTGTAGCCGGCACGGGGACTCTGGGGCTTCCATATTCTCCTCCAGGGGAGGGGGAGATCTGTGTGGACAAGAGGTGCAGCACTGAGGTGTGACATTTGCTTGTTTCCTGTTTCCTTGGGATTTTGGGGAGTTCTACCTCTCTGTTCTGTTTTCTGTTGCAATTTTCTTACCATGTGGGGTTTGTTTTGTTATGCCTACCTTTCTGGGTGCCTAAAACCAGGTTGATGGCAGATTAGGAAAACCCCAACCACAGGGGGGTTTTTCCAGGGGCCATTGCTCCCTGTGCCTTTCTGAGGGTGCCAGGTACTGGCTCGTGGTCGTCGGTAGGTAGAACTCCACTGACTAATGCCCTAGTCTAATTTTTTGCATATTAGCTCGATAGCTCCAGGGAGCTGAAGGGGGCTTCCCCCAGAAAAAGTTAAATAACAAGAATTATTTTTATAATACAATAGTGTTTAAATCCTTACTTTATTTACAATGTTGTACTTATATTGTCTAGCCATACTTACTAGTATACATCATGTGGTACAATCCAGTTACTTATTCTGAAAGTTTTCTCCAAATTATTCACTTATTAATATCCATCCAATATGGGGCCCCTAATAACACATAAATTAAGTCTTCACATCTTACCAGACTGCGAGGATTTTCGAGAACAGTCCGAACTTTCATATGGCGGCTGAGGTGAGTGAGGAGGAAGGGGCGAGCCTCTGGGACTGCCTGGGGACCGCAGGTTCTCCAGGCTGCCCAAGGGACTGGAAGACTGAAACAGTAAATACTAATTAGGGGCAGAATTTATTGTGCATAATTACTTATTATGAAAGCTACTGAAAAGTCACAGTAAGCCTACTGACAAAAAAAAAAAAAATTATGAAAATTAAAGGCAAAACACAGCAACTGTAGGTTTTTCAGTATATTAGCTAATTAAGTGATCAAAATCAAATATTACAATAAAAACCAGTTTTGCACTACACACCTGAGAGAGGGCAGAAGAGCCACCTGACATCTCGAGGGCATGTGGGTCAGAGAGGTCCCGGCTCCAGTAATGAGTATGGGAAATTTCCAGAGCTTGGAGGGCTGAAGATGTCCCTCCTACACCAAAGTTATTGTAAGTCACTTCCAAACCAGCAACTACAGCATTGATTAACTTCAGCATTCCCTTCCAAACAGGTTTCTTAACACACTGTAGAAAATAAGTCAGAAAATAATAATAGTATTTGGTATTTAAAGGAAGCAATGCAGGATTCATTTACTATGAATAAGGTGTTTTTTATATACAAGAGTCAATCTATTATTTACTACATTATTAAATTAACAGAAATAATTTATGTTCCACGTAAATTATTTCTCGATCGATCAATCAATTTAATAACCAATAGTATATATCAAAACTATATACTGTACTGTTATTCCTCTATTTAAGTCAGGCTAGGCTCAGCCTGGAACCTTGTTCTGAGATTATCACACCCATCACAACTGCTTAGTGGTCTGTAATGGTGCATAAACCATGTAGTACATACAGTACAGTACTACATGGTTTATGTAGTAATGTATGTAGTATGATGTACAGCATAAACCATAACAGTACATCCTCACTCCAATGAACCCAGGTCTAATGAATTCCTGGATAGTCTGAACAAATTGCATTCAGTAGAAATTGTTTTGTAGAACAGTGAAATGTTCGATTAAGTGTAGATTGTTCGTCCAGGCCATTGCCGAGGACAAGCTAAACTAACTACTGTAACTAATAAATTTAGAAACTGTCAAGTGTTTGGATTCAAGATCATGTACACAGAAACATGAATTGTCATTATTTGAGTACATAAAGAAGGAGCATAGTGTTTTTAAAGGCACTGAACTTCACAAAGCATTGGCTGGTTTGAGCATTTTGAGCATCATTGCATCCTGCACAACGATATAACTTGTGGAGTGGTGAGGCACCCAAACAATGGGTTCGAGGCTAATAACGAAGCATCCAGACAATATCTTCAGATATTAAAAGAAACCATCAAAGGAGGTGGTTACACTATTAACACGTTTACAATGGTGATGAAACAGAATTAAACTGGAAACGAATGTCATCAAGAAAATATCTCCAGTGCAGGTCAAAAGACACAGTTCTGTCTCTTTATCAACATACACTCTTCACTATGTCTGGAAAGTCGAACCGTACTGTACTAGTATTATATGCTAACCCTAATCATTTAATGAACTTTTGTTTTTTTGTAAGTTGAATTTTTACTTTAGAAGAATGCAGCTTCAAATTATAACATTGAATCTTAGAAAAATGGGTTTCAATTCAAATTCATGCTTCTGTGAACAGATTCCAAACATAAATAAATGGCTTATAATAAGACTGTTTAAAATTATGTACCAGTAATATTAATGATGTAATGATAATGATTTACTGGCCAAAAAATATTACTTACAACATCGTTTATATGATCATCCGGTCCTATCTTTCTTTCAAGAGTGCGATTAAGTCCCGACACGACCAACATACGGTAACTCTCATCTTCCATCAATTTTCTCACACGGTTCAGTTTTAGCCAACCAATACCTTCACCCTCAATCACCTGTGTCAAAACCTGAAAAAAAATGTACATTAAATTACTTTATGAAAATGTTGCTCTTTAATTCTTATGACAATCATTTACATTTATCTTACCCTATTAAAATGTTAAGAATATTACCAAGAAAAAAGTCATATTCGTTTTACCAGGAAAAAATTCAGAAGATTTAGATGAAGCATACAAATCTTTCAAGTAAGGAACTTATATAAATTACTGTATTTTAGAATCCTTAAAGCAAACATACATCTTTTAAGAAAGCTTGATTTTCTGAAGCTGAAGTTGTTCTCTGCTCTATGCTGGCAATTTTATTAAGTTCAGCACGCCTTTGAGCTGAGACAGAATGTCGAATCAGTGAAGACTTTTCCACTAAGCCCTTACGTCCTGCAGGTTAACAATATATATTGTTTATTCAATGTTTATAATTAAACAACTTTATAAATATAAATAGTAAAAATCTTCTTCATGACTGATGTACGTAATCATAAATGTAACCTAACTAAAGTATTAAATCAACTAAGCTGTATTTCATTATAATTTATATACAGTAACTATATTGTACAATTTTCACAATTTCATAAATTAGCAAACCTGCTATAGATTAAGAAAATAAATGAAGATAACAGTTACCAGTATTTATTTACTGCAGTAATGAAATCTACCTAAACACACGACCAAAAAATTATAAATTTGATACAAGGATAATCTACTGGTATATGCAGACGAGGCGTCACAATAACATGGCTGAAATATGTTGACCAAACCACACACTAGAAAGTGAAGGGACAACGACGTTTCGGTCCGTCCTGAACCATTCTCGAGTGGATTGTGAAGGGACGAAACGTCATCATCCCTTCACTTTCTAGTGTGTGGTTTGGTCAACAAGGATGATCTACACAGGGCTAAAAAGAAGTCACGCTTCTAAAAGCTTAGCAAAGTTACAGGAATAGAAAGGCATACTGCAAATCTTAAAGGACTTTCAGTATTAACAAGGGCCCAATTAGCATACTGTGTGTGGATTGTTGATGTTGTACAGTATCTAGAATAACATACCTCATTATGTATTTTAGTTCCAGAAAAACAGTACAATGTGTTAATAGGGTGAGGGTAAGCCCTATACTGTACATGGTGCATGTGAAAAGTGACCACTGATAAACGGTGAGTAACTGCAAGGTGTGAGCATTTTTGCAGGCCCATTTTGTCATAATAAAAGCAAATGATATATTAACAATAAGTGTTATTGTATAAAGATAATGTTATACTGCAAAATTATATAAAATAATTGAAGATAATTTTTAATTAGAAAAAAGATAATTGTAATTTCTTTTATTGTAATAAGTAATTGATAAAATATCCTCTAGTTGTTTTCCATTCGTGAGCATTTTCATTTATTGTATTTAACAAAAGTTGACTATTTTCATAGTATAGTATACTGAGTATCTTTCTTTATCAACTATAAATGAAGACCATTCCCTACAAGAGACAAAATATTTAATAAAACAATAACAATTAGAGTGCAATAGAAATAATTCTGATTTGTCAGATCAATGATCAAATTAAGAGATTATTTATCCTACATATCTAGACATTGTTTGATCACGTAAGTAATGGAAAATGGTACATATGGGCTGACAGATCTTGAGAGATGAACAGGGTTGTGTAATAATTTCAGTGAGTGTAATCATTACATTATGGGGTAAGGAGTACAAGTGGAATAATGAGTGAAAGGTACAGCCTACAGATTGGTGTATTGAGTATAGGCTGGTGTAATGAGTATAGGCAAGTGTAGTACAGGTTGGTGTAATGAAAATATGCAGGTGAAGTAAGAGAAACTTAATAGTGCAAAATTTCCTAGAGTACTGAATGCAAATGAAACTACTGGATACAAGTTTCTTATAAGTTTCTTAGATTAAGGACCTGCCCGAAACGCTGCACATACTAGTGGCTTTACAAGAATGTTATTACTATGATATGTATCCTCACAATCCCAATGTACCTTCTTGTATATATATAAATAAATAAATAAATAAATGTACGGTACAGGCATCAGTGTATGTGTGTAGAAGTTCTGCTCCAGTTGTATTTACTCCTTTTGAGCTAATGATCTTTACAATTTTTGCCCCCCATCCCTCATGTGTTAATATAGTTCTAAGATCTGTTACCAGGGGCTATATTGCCCAATTATAATAGGGATCTTCCCCACTCCAACACGTGCCAGTGTTGAAGCACTCAAGCTGATACACCAAGGTGTTCTCTAGATATCGCGCATGGACACAGCCAAAAATAATAATTTTGTAAAAATCAAAATTACTGATACAGTACTACAGTTATGAGGAATAAACAAATTGTACGTAACAAATTATTCATAAACTATTAAAATCCATAGAATTTAAAAAACAGAAATTATTTTTTTGTTAGTTTACCAACATCATAATTCAAGAAGTAACGATGCATTGATATGATGCAGCATAAATAGTTTTCATACCTCTCAGTACTTACAACAACTTCTTAAACAAAATGCAGATATTGCTGCAGTAATGGCCAGACAAAAGAGAGGAAGTATACAACACTGGAAACATAGTTTGTCACTATGTTAACTGTTATAATATTTTGAAGAACTAATGTTACACACTAGATAAGTCCAAAAAGGAAAGGACAGACTAATGAAGATTAACTAAACTGCAAACGCTGAAAAATATTCACGAAGCAATACATTTTCAATGTGGCATGTGCAAGAATTTCTTTACAATCAAATTGAAAAAAGGCAAAATTCTTAAAGAAGATGCAGGAAATGTGGCACTTAATTGTATATACATGAAACACACAATCAAAAATCACTTCTACTGCACACAATATCGGACATGCTTTAAATCCATCTTAACTTTTATATACAGTACCACAATGTCAACAAACAGAACAGGAGTAACAATGAGCAATACTGTACTATTAATAAGTTTATGCAGAAGTCAGTGCTCTACACTAACCCAAGGCATAGAGTGCAGCCACACATTATGATGCCTACTCTCTCTTCCCTAACTAAATATAGATCATAATATAAAATAAACAAAAAAACGACGTTGAATGTAATGAAACACCATTTTCTGGGTGAGACCCGAAGGCTTCCCGGAGCTATCCAGGCTGATATGCTAACGTCAGACTTTGGCATCAGTCCTGTGTATGGAGTCCTGTGGGCCTACCGAGGACCACGAGCCAGAACCTGGCCCCCTCCCCTTCACAGAGGCACGAGGAGCAATGGCCTATAGAAACCCCCATGTGATTGGAAGCATTCTATGTCTGCCATTGACCGGGTTAGGCACCCAGAAAAGTAGGCGTCCCAAAACAAACCTCTATTCTGGTGTAAATTGCTACAAAAAGCCGAACAAGTGGATAGAATTCCCCAAGCAGAAACGAGCAAAAGAATATGATGTCACACGTTGCCGACTTTGCAGCTACCCCTTCCTCGGGAGGGGAAGCCCCAGAACCCCGCTCTGGCCATCCACACCCCAGTTCTGAGGCTGATGCCTATAGGCTGTGGTCGTGTGCTCTGGCTCCAGTGATTGTTTCAGCACTGTGCCTTGTGTGTGTGGTTTCTATCTTCTAGATGGTGCGCGAGCCAGGAGTGATTCTTCAGTACTCGGGTTGCATGTGCCTAGGGCTCCCTTCCCTAGGTGCCCTGTAAGTACTGCCCTTGGGGCTTGGGGCCACCTTCCACAAGTTCCTTGGGTTCTGCCTCTGTTAGGCCATTTACTGCTCGGTTTTTGGCAGCCTTTTGTGTGCTACGGTGGTTTATCTCCCTTGTTTACCTTAGGGTAAGGGGCAGTTTGCACTGGTATGGAGTGCAGGGTACTGAGCAGCTTGTTTTCACCATTCATAGCGGCCGGCTCTGTTCCGCCTGGGTACATTGTCCTCTTGCGGGATTTTCTTTTTCTTTTTGTTTACCTGCCTGGTGGGGGGTGCCTGCCTTGGTTGCCCCCAGAGTATGGTTCTTGGGTACTAAATTCTTTTCAGGTGGTACCCCCTGCTAGGTACCTGTGAGTGTACATGTCCCGGGGGGTTCAATTCTCAGAAAGTTGTTTGGTAGACTTGGGGCCGGTTAACAGTACCCTACCTGGGCTTCCCTGAGCGTGAGTTCCGTCTCAGGACCCTGGGAATCTCCACGGGGGCGTGTGGGTCCGATGGATGTGACCCCTGAGTCCCCCCCTCGCTTTGCGCAAGTTCGAGGGTTGCTCTGTCCCCTTGTCTCAGGGTGACTTTCACTGTTTTGCCTCCGTCTGCTGCGTGTTGGGTCGGTGGCACCTTCGACCCGGAGTCCTGCGAGTTTTGTTGCTTGTTTGTGACTCCATTACCCAGTCTCATGCTGGCTATACGAGTGCAGGCAGCACGGGCGTTGCACATTGGGTTCAGGTGGTTGCATCCCGTTAGGTTGTTTGCTCCCCAGAGGCCCCGAGGCTGCCCCGTTTTGGTTGTTGTGATGGGGTTTGGGGTGTTGGTCGCTTCAGTATACCAATTCAAAGAAGTATAAGTAATGGATAAACCTCCCCCCCCCCAAAAAAAAATCATCATCTTGTACCCTTGAAATATTTGACCATATGGGTTGGGAGTGATAAAACCTATGTCAGCTAATCAACAATCTTGATGATATTTGAGCTCCACTTTTTAGTAAGCCACTTAATTTTTCAAAGCTTAAACAGGAATTCTGAATGTTATTTTCATTACAGTAAACTACTAACATTCTTAAAAAAAAGAACATTTACCCTTGTATGTTGTTTAACGTGTGATAATTTCCCATTACAGTTCCCCAAATAATGTGTTTTGGTTTCTGACGGGTCTTCCTACCTTTGGGGAAAGGTCCAAAAGGCTGCGCCCTGTCCCTGGTCCTGGTGGTGCCTGCGCCTAGATTGGAGGGACTCACACTGCGACTCCCAGGTCCACGTGCACCTGTTAGGCAACATGGTTCGCACTGGGGTCCCTTTGTGTGTAATAACCCACAAACCCCTAATTTCACATTTTTAAGTCAATTCCTTAAACACAGTGAATTGTTTAAATATGGAATAATCTTACTTCCATTCAGAGATAGAAATAATATAAACACAAATTATTCCTTCTTTTACAGAGGAAAACTTTAAAATGGGAGACTATTTGATTACACTTTTCAAAGTCATTGGTCTTCTCAATTGTAGTGACAGTAGTGATATCTAAGTATATACACACGGGTTCAATGTTGCAACGGTTGTGCCTATATATTAAGATGTCATGACTGCCCTGTCTTGATTTGAGAAATCCCAATAGGACAAAAGTTATCAAATATCATTTTCTCCCATTTTTGTGTTCTATATAATTGTCAGATCTCATAAAACTGAATTCCTTCACTTTTTGAAAATATTAAGTCTAATTTGAGGATTTGATCAACAATTTGTTTTTTAAATTGCTTTTATAAATGCTGAAATATATAATATAATGTGAATGAATGAACAAAGAACAATAGTACTCCAGAATTCAGCTGCTGATGGTTATTCAATGGCAGAAAAAGATGGTATAAGACTATTCAAAATTAACAGAACATTTTTTGACAAATGCACAAAGTAGCCTTAAAATATTAACTATATTCAAGTCCAATATCTGATGCATTTGAGAAACTACTGAAAATGAATCTGCATTACACATTCTTCATAACAACATGTATAAAATACTGTATAATTGACCATACTAAAATGTACACTAAAAATATTTTGCTCCTTCTAAAGGATGACCTGATATTATCATTAGTAAATGCAACCTTATGCTACTATTTTTGTTGGCAATTCAAATGACTACTCAGAACTCGAGCCCAAAAGAAGCATTTCCACCCCCTGACGCTCTCACAATCCTCCTGTCCAAGGGAAGATTTTTATCATATAATTAAGACAAATATCACTGAAGGAGCAAGAACAATTCACATGAAGAATTCAAGATATTCTGTGAATATTCTGTGTTAGTAAATTAAACTTATTTAGTGAAACTTTATAATATACATAAATGATACTGAATAAGCACTTATCCTCTGAATACAATGAATGCCTAAACATTCAGTATGAGAATTTTGGTAAATTTTGTATGCATAATGGTAAATGATCCAACATGAAATATTCACCTTCAAATAGTAAAAAAAAAGACTTCACTTAATAATACAATAAAAACAATAAACTGTATGGTATAACCCTGATTGTACTGGATTATTATTTTTCTTAATACTTTTTGTTATTACTGAAACTATTATTTAACACAAACGTAAAAAGATAGTTACCATATATTCTGGCATATAAGTCGACATTTGAAGTCTAAAGAAATACAGTATCTCCAAAACCAGGGCAAAACCAGGGGTCAAATTGTCCGTCAAACATAAAATGTGAAATTTTACCACTGAGAGATAAACAAGTGAAACGCCCGGTTTAATACTCATTGTATACCATTTCTCATAACTCTTGCAGGCCATCACATTATTTAGATAATTTCACTTGTGAAATTATCTAAATTTCTCGGCAAACTGGTAAAGGAAGGAGGGAGGCAGGGAGGGAGGCAATGAGGGAAGGAGGGAGGTAGCCAGCCAGACAGGGAGGAAGAGAGGCAGGCTGGCTCCCCCTGACAACCATAGACACTACTTGCCTCCCATGATAATCACTAAATCCACCTGACAACCACTAACACCACCTGACAACCACTTACCACCTGCCTCCCATGACAGTCACTAATACCACCTGCCTCCCATGACAACCACTGACACCACCTGCCTTATGTAGTAAATATTCGTTAAGCTACTGTATATTTATAAGATACATTTTTTTTTTTTTTTTTTTTATGCAGTGGGGCAGGGGAAGTGGTGGTGCCTTATTTAGGGGGGGAGGGGGGGGGGTCGTCTTATGTCCCGAATATATGCCTAACCCTAAATTACACCACTAAATTTTTGGGGTCGACTTTTGCGCCGGGTTGACTTATACGCCTGCATATACGGTAAATATATTTTCATATCGTACAGTAAGTTTTCTTTGAATTAACATTTTTGTAAGAAAACATGATGAACAAGAGAGTAAGGTGGTCCCAGCAGCAGGATCACAGGTGTGGTGTTAGATTATTTACCCTTCTGCACTGTAAAATGAACTGAATCATACTGATATTTTAAATTCTTTTTCCATGAGCATTTACTCAATTCATTCCAACAAGAAATATGCTAGAAAAAATGATTTATTGCTTACTTTATATCATTTTCTAGTTCTAGATCAGAAATAATTTACATGATAAATATAAATAAAGCAAAGAAACTCACTTAGACAACAAAAAAACTGCATACAGTATCATGCAAAACATGTAACTCGTTAAAAATACGGGAACAATTGAGACATTGTGCAAGCATAAAAGACAGCAAAGTTCTGTGCAGTGCAGCAGCATTCAATTATATGAGTAAGTAACTTTAAAAGTCATAAGCAAATTTAAAAACAAGATAAATTAATATTGTTATACAATACATATATATAATTACTGAAAATCTTGTGTGTGACAAAACCCAAATCACCAAATAAAATGTTTTCAAGTAGATAGTACTGATGAATAAGGTTAAGAACTGAACATTTATGTGTGGCATGCCCATTACTTGTGCAAAACGAAGACATCTGCATGTAATTTATTTGTGTTTCTTATACTGTAATCCCTCTATTGATGTCCAAGATGCATACCTGAAAATCATGATTTAGAGGGGAGGGCATATATATTAAAACTTCTTTCCTGGTCTCTTTCGTGGCATTATTTCTCTTCCTATTTGACAAATTTATTCAAGACACATCAGAACAGCCCTCAAGTTCAAGTATGTTTATTGAGACAAGAAAGAAATACATCTCAATAGGATACAGTAGCTTAGGCTATTTCTACCCCAGAACAGCCCCTCTTCTTCTCAAGGCAAAAACCTTTATGGGAAAGCAAAAGACTTTACTGCCTGCCCTTTAAATTCAGCGCCTCATTCCAATATCCTTTTTCTTGTTGTTTTGGTGAAGCAAGTCTGTTTGATAAGGTCTCTGCATGGTACTCAATTAATTCAGCAATGTCAGTTTCATCAACTTATCAAATTCAGTATTTTATATCATTCATATATTTATATTTTCAAATTTTGCACATTTGCACTTATGTAAAATGGGACATAAGTTGAATTTTGGGGATGTAAATTGGAAGTGGGTGTAAAAGGTCTCTAGATATAAATTATAATGACAATTCAAAAGGGCTAAAATAGAGGGATGACAGTACTGTAATTTAAAATGTGTACTATGATATATTTATATAATAAAATGTGTGAACCATCGCTGTACTCAAAAGTATGGTGTACATATTAGTGATTCAATTATTATGTTCATAAAACAATAAATAAATAGTTTTGCTGTTATTACACTATATACACATGTTATATATAAGTATCTGCATGTTTAGTTCATCATAACGAATCACTAAGCTGGTATGGCGAGTCCAAACAACAATAGTGGCCGCCACACACCAGCCAGCAGACGCCACCTCCCTCTCTCCTTTACCAACACCTCACTCGTCAATATTCCTCTAGAGTTCCAACAACAACAATAGAGTTCCTCGTCCTATTGTGGCCAAAATATGTCACCTACGATTTTAACAATCGTAGAAGACATTTTAACAATCTTAGAAGAAACCAAAATTATTATTTTTTTTTTTTTTTTTTTTGCTTGTGCCTAGTGGTGTTGCAGGCTATAACCCCAAGTGCCTCCCAAAGGTTTAGAAAAAATCACTATAAAAAATATAGTAATCCAGGTTTCTTGGTGAACTATCATATAAGCAAAAAAAATATACTGTTTATAATTTCCAAAAAAAATCCAATACAAGATGCATTGTTGTTTTGTACTGGAATGTTTACAACATTTTTATAACAGCTTAACAGTTGATCCATATAAATAATACAATTGAACTTAAGCATCCAAGATACTCCAAGACTTGTATTAATATGCATGGGAAAACAGTCTTCAATCATCTTAAATACCTTAAGGTTTCTGAAACACTGGATGAGTACAAAAGTGAATTAATGCATAAAACAAAACAAAAAAACATTCATCGTTGACCTCTGTGAAACCATATAATAGGTATATGTGAATACACTAACTGAAACAGAATTACTTATTAAGGAAATATACATCATCAGGCTAATGTTAAGCAAAATATATTAGCAACATCCAATGCATTAACAAAAAAAAAAGCAAAATAAGAATTGGTTAAGCAGATAAGACCACCATCACCACTACCACCACCACCACCACCACCACCACCACCACCACTACCACTCCACCACCGCCACCACTACCACTCCACCACCACTACCACTCCACCACCACTACCACCACCACTACCACTCCACCACCGCCACCACTACCACTCCACCACCGCCACCACTACCACACCATCACCACCAAGAAAATACGGCCGGCAATAACTTACGAAAAATGGAGCGGCTCAATCTATGTTGCAAAGGTGCAGCTGTTGAGACTTCATTACCAACATGACCATTTTTCACTAAAAATTATTAATTTACTATTTATATGTGAGGAGAAATATGCTGTAACTTGCTGTGTTATGTTGAAAAGTAATCACTACAAGTACCAATACAAACAATACACATCTTCTACAGGCATGAACACAAAAGTTACACTAAAAAGATTAATGCATATTTAAGACAAATTAATTCAATAAAAGTTAAAAACTAATAGGGATGCTAATTTAGATATAACAGAATCAATACCAAAAGAAAGCATAAAGTCAAATACAGATAATAGCATATGTAAAGAATAGCCTATCAGAAAGGTCAATACATAGTTCAAAATTCATTGGTAGATTTTCTACAACCAGCATAAATTTAGTAGTTATACAATATTGTATACATACCAAATATGTCACTAAATAAGCTTGACGTCTGCTGTGCAAAATCATTAAGTTCAGAGCTAACATTTGAAAGAAAATCTCTGGAAGTGGAAGATGTCATTGTAGGAGAGCGAGCCCCAGCACTGCTGGCCGTACTCTGGCGGCGAGTAATGACACCTCCGACACCACCACCTTCACTCCCGTCACTTGCACCAACACCTCCAGTGCTGCTGTGGAAGCTACTGCTGTCTGGACCCATCATGCTAGGGCCTTGAAAGAAAACAAAAATAAAGGAATTACATATAATAGGAATTAAATAGAATAATGCTTGGCAACTGTGTCTAACACCCTTCACACATAACATATGTGTTTTAGTACACTTCTCAAGGTACCCCTAAGTAGTGTTCATAAACCTTGCAAACATGGTAGAATGTTGATCATTCATAAGTTTGCAAAAACAACAGCTGCCAAAAAAAAAAAAAACCCAGTAATTTGCAAAAACAGTAATTGGGCTCTTCACGCCCAAGATGCCTAGTTCCACAAGTTGGAACTTGTGCCACCTGAGGTGGACTATGACCTGAGGTGCAAATGATATGCATCCGTATGCAGATGAGGAGTCACAATAACGTGGCTGAAATATGTTGACAATCGACTTGAGAATGGTCCAGGACGGACCGAAACGTTGTCGTCTCTTCACTTTCTAGTGTGTGGTTTGGTCAACGATGTGCATCCGGTCTATACATGTATCAAAAGGGGTAGAATTTCATCCTCCTATTCCACTGTTTTGATTTTGGCAAGGGCATTCATCTGTGATTACCATTCACATCCATGACATTATGAATATAATTATGAATGACTAGAACACATTTCAGGAGTAATTTACCAAGAAATTTGTATCTGAGGTAAGGAGTACCTAAGAGAAATAAAAATGAACAACAAAATTTGGGTTTAAAGACGAAGAAGACTCATTTTACCGAGGTCTGGTAATAAAGCCTCCACTTTCCCACAATCACAAAGGTATTACTTTCCATTCAGGAGGATGAGGAAACCTGATACCATAGTGGATGCAGGAAAACCCCAGAAGAGCTGGGTACCAGGTCCAGGTAACATAAGAACAATAATAGCAGAAGCTGCAGAAAGCACATTGGCCAATGTGAGGTTGCTCCAATTTAAATCCAACTACACCCCCTCATATATTTATCAACCCTATACTCGAAACAATCAAGAGACCTTACACATACTATGGTACCTGAGTATTTGTTCTATAACCATATTTCCTAACCAGAATTTTCCCCCTTGTCTTGTCTGAATAACAAATGCATCCAATTTTAACATAACTGATCATGCTCTATTGTGAAAGACTTCAGAAAACTTGTCATAACACTTATTAGGAAATCACTGACAAAAAGTTTCCTATTCCTCAACAGCAACAATAACAAACACTGCCATGTTTGGTATTTTACAATCTGCACCCTTTTGACTTTAGACACATCATGTGTTGCAACAACAGAAGTGACATCAGAGTTCCTTTGAGCAAAATCTTTCTTTCACCTTTGATATATAAATTTGTACTTTGATATATAAATTAAATACATAGGAAATAAATTCTAAAATTATATCATCAGAAACTAAATATGACCTAACAGTTACTTATGGTAGAAAGAGTTCTTGTATAACACTCATAGGGATAAAATAATGTCAAACAGGAAAATTGCATAGTATTAACAGTCACTTACACATTTGAAGCTTATGTTGGTACAGTATAGAAGCGCAACAATGTGACCCATCGCAGTTAGAAACATAGAAATGACCTTGCAAATGTGTTTGTGTTGTATATTATGATGAACAAATATACTTAAAATCATTAAGGACAAATTACTAGATGCATGAAAGTGAATTGACTACTTATCATTTTATATAGGCCAAAGAGATTTTGAACTGTGTAAAAAAGCATTAACAAATTTAACTATTAACTTCTATAATTTACAAAATGAAACATGAGAATGGTTTAAGAAGCTACTTACCAGAGGAACTGACAACAGACTGTCTTCCCGGCGAGGCACCATTCCTACTAGTTTGTGCATGGGCAGGACTCATCTGGGGCTGGTTGGGTAACTGTGTAGGAATGGATGATTGACTCTGGAGTGATGGTTTGGGTGATCTTGGAGGGGGTGGGGGAGGCAAGCCCCTCAGGTGTGTAGGCGGGGATGAAGAAGGCACACTAGTGGGTGATGTTCTATGAGGGATAGGTGGTGGCACTCCCAAACCACCAGATACTCCTCTTCCTGCTCCTCCTGTTGCTGCTGCTCCTCCTACTCCTGCACCTCCTCCTCCTCCTCCTGCACCACCTCCTCCTCCTCCTGCACCACCTCCTCCTCCTCCTGCACCACCTCCTCCTCCTCCTGCACCTCCTCCTCCTCCTCCTGCACTTCCTCCTCTTACTGTACCACCTCCACCTCCTCCTCCTCCTCTAGTACCCATCTCTCCTGCTGTATTCATCATACCTCCTCCTCCTCCTCCTCCTCCACCTCCACCAACTTCGATGGCACCACTACTGCCGATGGCTGGACCAATTCCACTTAACTTTCCATCAAAAGAAGAGTCTCGAAGTTCCAAGGCCTGACAAGGGTAAGAAATAATTAGAAATTATACAAAGGAAAAAAGAATCATAACTAAAAATAAACATATTTCCAATTATAACAAATCTTCTGAACTGAGGAATAAAAAGGAAACAGTAGCTATATAGTACAGTACTGAGTTCTCCTGACAACTTAAAGGAAAAGTTGATACAAAAAATACCTAATTGATTTGTTAAATTAAGTGTTGCATCAATCACCTTTTTTTCTTCTGGTTTCTACAAAAATTGAAAACAGATCTTACTAGCAAACACAAAACTGCTTCAATAGACACTTCAAACATTTTGTCATGAAGAACATTCATAGACTTACACAGTTTAGTATGAATGGACTCCTTATATGAGTCTGAATTTCTTTCTAAGGTACTACATGAAAGACTGGCTAGGAAATTACAAGCACATGGAATAAATATTAGAATACAATACTAGACTGGATAAAACAATGATTAAAACAAAACAAGCTAAGGGTATCCTAAACAGCAATGAATCTGACTGGAGAAATGTGGTGAGTGGGGTACAGCAAGGGTCCATTTTGGGGCAAACCCTTTTTGTCATATACATCAGTGACATGGATGAGAATACTACAAACCACATCATCAAATTTGCAAATAACACTAAGATTTATGGTAAAGTGGGAAGTGAAAATGACATTGAGGCCTTACAAAGAGATCTATGTTAAGTCCACAAGTGGTCAGAACACTGGCAAATGCTTTTTAATGTCAAAAAGTGCAGTCACTATAAGTTGCACAAGTTTGCACTGCGGTAAGAAAAAAAAGAAGCCAACCAAGCCCTAGCAATAGTCAAATGAACCTTTGACTTCGAGAAAAAGATGGTAGTTATGCCACTGTATAAATCACTGGTGTGTCCCCCACTTGGACTTCTGTATCCAAGCATGGAAAATTCATCTTCAGAATATCTGCTCTGTAGAACGTTTAACACTAGGCAATAAAAATCCTTCCAGAACTAGGTTGACTCTCATACCAGGAACAGTTGAGGGCCACAGGGCTAACAACACTGCAAACCAGATATCACAGGGCTGATCTCATAGAAACTTTTAAAATACTGAACAATTTGGAGGATGTTGATCCAGACAACTTTAAAAAGGTCAAATGTAACACAAACAAGGAGCAATGCTTTCAAGCTGAACAAGCCACAATGTAGGACAGAATACAGGAGATCCCTTTTCACCCATAGGGTTATAAACCCATGAAATCACCTACCGGCCAAAGCTGTTAATGCCAAACGCTGTTGACTTTTAAAATCCAGCTTGATAAAACCAGCAGGACAAAGGGGGGGGGGACCTTTGACAAGCCACTGGTTTCTTGTCCTCTTCGAGACCACTAAAGAGGTAATGGCCCCTCAGATAAATTCAGGTATCCATAGGCTGAATAATGCGGTATTGTAATAACATATTGTGATTACACCCCCAACATGAGCATCTTAAATATATATGGATCAACATACAAGGGTCAGCCCTCAGGTTTCAGGAAATTTATCACTTCAGCAGTTCACCAGTAACACTTCTTTCTACTTCTACAATCCTGTCATCTTCTTAAGAGAGACAAAGAACACTGATAAAATAAGCTTAAGTACTTTTTTATTGAATTCTTTTTCAGCCACAGATGTGATGTCCACAAAAATCAAGTTATCCATTTGCTTTTAGGGCCACCCCTGTGTATACAGAATAAATGCCTGTGTTACTTTACCTAAAGACAGTAACTACAATCTTAATTTTATTAAAAATTAATGATGTTTCATCTTACTAACTAAATCTGCTGCATTAGGTTAACTGCCTCAGAGCAATAACTACACATTACTGATGTAACTGACTAAACTGTCTGATTCTGATTAGTCTAAATACTACAAAAAACCAGCGTTGAATGTAATAAAACACAATTTACTGGTAAGCCCTGGAGGCTCCCTGGAGCTATCGGGCTAATATGTGATACATTAGACCAGGGCATTATTCAATGGAGTTCAGCTTACTGGGGACCACGAGCCAGAACCAGGCCCTTCGCCCAGAGAGGCACAGGAAGCAATGATCCCTGGAAAAGCCCCGTGTGGTTGGAGGTTTTCCTTATCTGCCATCGACCAGGGTTAGGCACCCAGAAAGGAAAGCATAACAAAACAGATCCCACATGGTAAGAAAATTGCAACCAAAAACTGAACAGAAAGGCAGAACTCCCTCAAATACCAAGGAAACAAGCAAACATCACACCTCGCCATCTCACTGCATCCGCGCAGCCCTTCCCTCTCAGGGAGGGGGAAGCCCTGGACCCCCCGTGCCGGCTACTCAGCAACTCCAGTTCAGAGGCTAAGCATCAAAACAATGCAAAAACTGCCAACCAGAGGGAGGGAGGGTGCCAGGGAGCCTCTGGGGCTCACCCAGAAAATGGCGTTTCATTACATTCATCGCTGGATTTCTGTGGGGAGCCCCCTTCGGCTCCCTGGAGCTACATAACCAAAGATAAGGAAAAGAGGGACATACTCGGGAGGCAGTCGGTATCCGCTCCTCAACTCGAAGGCGAGACAACTGTTGCAACCTGCGACCCAAAACCACACAGGAACGTCCAGGACCAGTAATGTCGACCAAATAAGGGGTGGCAAGGGCCCTGTTCGACCTACAAAACTATGTGCTCGAATATCAGCCCAAGACATGATGCTGAAGATGGCAGCCAAAGCAGCAAACTTCCGAACGTTTGACGTTTGCTTGTTTGCTTGGAATTTGAGGGAGTTCTGCCTCTCTGTTCGGTTTTCAGTTGCAGATTCCATGTTCAGTCTGCTTTGTTTTGCCTACCTTTCTGGGTGCCTAACCCTGGTCGATGGCACATAAGGAAAACCCCCAACCACAGGGGGGGAGGGGGATTCCAGAGGCCATTGCTCCCTATGCCTCTCTGAGGGGGGGCCAGGTTCTGGTTCATGGTAATGGTAGGCTGAACTCCAATGACTAATGCCTTGGTCTAATGTATCGCATATTAGCCAAATAACTCCAGGGGAGCCAAAGGGGCTCCCCACAGAAAAGGTGAGGGGGTAGTCAAGCCAACATGGGGATCATACGTCATGAAAGCTGCATGCCTACAGAGTTTCTTTTATACTAAAATATCTAAGCACTACAAATTTTACACCCATTTCTATGTCACGACCATCTTATGTAAGAGTGAGGGAACGTCCCACGGAGTCCTGTTTTAGTGGTTGTCCCTCTCACCTTGAGGCTGACCTTGGAGAAAATGCTACCCTTCTTGGCTGCCTCTCGTGCTGTTTTGGATATGTCTCCAAAGGTGTGTTTTCCCATGAATGACAGATCTTCAAATGTTGACTTGCTGGCCTGTATGTTAAGAGGTAAACATAGTTAAATAACAGAATAACTTTCAGAAGTGTATGTTAATCAAATAAAAATAATATATATTGATAATTTAAAACCGTACATTAACACAAAAAGGGTTAAAAATAATATACAGTATTACTAAGTTGGGAAAGACAAAATAACAAAATACATTAGAGATTTTTTGATGAATTAGTATCCCATTCAACTGTGACACTGATAGAAGGAGCCATCAGTATATATATGAGTAGCTTTAAGACTTGCCTTTAGCTTGGTTTTCAAGTTTTAATTTTCGACTTACACCTCACCTTTTCTCACTTCACATCCAAAAAATATCTTATAATGGCTTCCTTCCCCCTTTCTTTTAGTTTCAACTTGACGGGAATCCAGGAAGCATCAAAGTGTTTAAATGAAGCAACCCAAGAGTACCTTCAGCTAAATGAGATCATTCCATATTAATTTAGGAAACTGGGTGAACACTGTACATGAACGCTATAATGCATTATTCAAAAACTAACCTGTTGAGCTTGCTTGCTAGCTTCCATAGCTTGCTTGCCGGCTACTGACACAGATTTTGAGGCTTCCTCTGCTACCCGCTTCGCTTGCACTGTCAGCTGTCAGATTATACACTCCATAATATTAACTCTGCAAGGTCTCTTATTAAATCTTTTACAACTAATGCTTTCACTATATCATATCTTATGATGTACTGGATTTATTCCTGCTAATAAATCTTAGTTAAAATACTGTACCACTTTTTATGGCAAACTTGAAAATCAGGGCTAGATGTATTTATTAAAAAGAAATAGCCACAAGTACATGCAAGTGATCATGCAGCAAGCATCCTAAATAATTAGCTTCACGTTAATGGAAAGTTGGGGGGCCCAAAATGACCAATGTGACCTAGAGGCAGGCAGTACCTGATCAGTAAAACTGGAGAAAGAAGTTGCATCTTCTTGTCTTTCCTTTTGCGGATGGCCACTTGCCTCAGGGTTGGACTGCAACAGGATACACACACAGGTCACAACACCAATGGGTTGACACCTCCCACCTACCTACTACCAGCCGCTCCACGGATATCCTCAAACACGACTGGCAAATGAGCTACTTGTGCCTTTGGTCATATTCATGGAGGTTTTTATCTATTTGATGTTGCACATCAGCTGGTAGTTGTGAGGGTGTTCCCATACCATACAGTACAGTACAAGTAAGAGTAACAAAGAACATCAAGGACGAGTGTCAGCTCAGTGAGGATGGTTACAGAAAGTAAAATTAGCACATAAAATGAATCTATTACATGTGTAACAGTATTAGAGATAAACAATAGGAAATCAGGTTACACAACAAGAAATAGTGCAGAAGCTTACACAGTAAATAAGAATTACAAGTGCAGAGAAACATTATTTTATTTGCAAATTCAGAGTTTGCATATGTGGAAATTTTCACGTTCATAAAAAAATAATGGCATCCTGTAATGTTTTACTTATACAGTATATTAGGCTGAAAGAGGGAGAGAGATGTGAATGTGCATGTGTAATAACTTAAGTATAAAAACCTAATGACAGCTACAGGAAGACAGCTATGCTAAGGTATCTAATCTTTGTAAAATTTATCATAATTATATTCAAGCTTTACTGTTTTCTAACAAACACCAATTTCTCCATCAGTCTGTTCGAAATGTACACATCTTTGCTAGAACTATGAAGGCAATTTCTTTTAGAGTAACTTTCCTGCATTGTTCTTTCTATAATATACAATGTTCTTAAATGAAATAAACAGAAAAAACAAATTTTTTGTTTTTTGAGAGATACAGTATAGACAAGAGTTGTTACATTCTTGTACAGCCACTAGTACGCATAGCGTTTCGGGCTGTACAAGGATACAAACCCATGACAAAGCGCTCGTGGAACGCCAGGTGAGTGTCTTACCACTACACCACGGGGACTGGTACTCTGGCCGGGTAGGATTTACTGGGCGCAAATCCTTAACTGTAGCCCCTGTTTAACTCAACAGTAAAATGAGTACTTGGTTGTAAAAACGATTCTTCGCGGTGGGGATCGTATTCCAGGGACCTGCCCGAAACGCTACGCGTACTAGTGGCTGTACAAGAATGTAACAACTCTTGTATATATCTAAAAAAAAAAAAATAAAAAAAAAATAAAAATAAAAAAAAAAATAAAAGGGGTTAGAAGGCACCATGGTATTAAGCATGTAAAAGTGTGTAAAGAGAGGAGGGAGTCAGCTAAATGAACTTCAGGATATCTGCCTAATTCCTCTGAAGAAGCACCAATTTACCATCATCCATGCCAACCATTTAGCCCAGGCAATAATGCCTACACTTCATTCTGAGATCACATATGGAGCAACATCTCAACATAACTTTGGTGAGTGTAGCCTGATAATAAACTTTCTTAATAACTTTCCAGTTTCAAATTTTTACTGGATTATTTTAAGTTTTACCCAAAATGCTTTGGGTATTAGTGGCATTATTCAATATGCAATAAGTGTACCTTCAAATTTACTTCTGTAATACATTACAATGTATGCATATTGTATGAATAAAATTATATTATTATTACTACTATTATTATTATTATTATTATTATACACTTGAGGAATGTCTACTAGCTTAACACATCTTTGTAATTTAAAAATTCCTAAATCTCTCTCCATGACTCAAAGCTAATGAAAGTACAGTCAAAGATCCAAGCTTTATACAAGAAGTAGTGGACTAACGAGCATATGATCTTGTAAAATGATCCTCGAAGTCTCTATTTTAGTCCCCTTGTTCCTCTACAATGTACCTACCAATTCCGAAGGCCTCATATTAAAACGGTGCTACTAATGAACTAACTCGGCTGCTTACTGAAGAAGCTAAGGGAAGGGAAGGGAACTATCAGGGGAAAGCGCCAAGCCATTAGACTAGATAGCACTTTGAACGGGTCGGGATAAGGATTTGGGATGGGACGGGGTGGGAAGGAATGGTGCCAACCACTTGGACGGTCGGGGATTGAACGCCGACCTGCATAAAGCGAGACCGTCGCTCTACCGTCCAGTCCAAGTGGATAGGCTGCTTACTGAAGAGAAGTCCCTTAACTATGGCTAAGAAGATGTGGAAGTGTGTTGATGGTGCAGTGGTATAAATGCATCATCACATTATAAGGCCTCCACCTAAATTAAACCTATGCATCATCACATTATAAGGCCTCCACCTAAATTAAACCTATGCATCATCACATTATAAGGCCTCCTCCTAAATTAGACCTATGCATCATCACATTATAAGGCCTCCACCTAAATTAAACCTATGCATCATCACATTATAAGGCCTCCTCCTAAATTAGACCTATGCATCATCACATTATAAGGCCTCCTCCTAAATTAGACCTATGCATCATCACATTATAAGGCCTCCACCTAAATTAAACCTATGCATCATCACATTATAAGGCCTCCTCCTAAATTAAACCTATGCATCATCACATTATAAGGCCTCCACCTAAATTAAACCTATGCATCATCACATTATAAGGCCTCCTCCTAAATTAAACCTATGCATCATCACATTATAAGGCCTCCACCTAAATTAAACCTATGCATCATCACATTATAAGGCCTCCTCCTAAATTAAACCTATGCATCATCACATTATAAGGCCTCCACCTAAATTAAACCTATGCATCATCACATTATAAGGCCTCCACCTAAATTAAACCTATGCATCATCACATTATAAGGCCTCCACCTAAATTAAACCTATGCATCATCACATTATAAGGCCTCCTCCTAAATTAAACCTATGCATCATCACATTATAAGGCCTCCTCCTAAATTAAACCTATGCATCATCACATTATAAGGCCTCCACCTAAATTAAACCTATGCATCATCACATTATAAGGCCTCCACCTAAATTAAACCTATGCATCATCACATTATAAGGCCTCCACCTAAATTAAACCTATGCATCATCACATTATAAGGCCTCCACCTAAATTAAACCTATGCATCATCACATTATAAGGCCTCCTCCTAAATTAAACCTATGCATCATCACATTATAAGGCCTCCTCCTAAATTAAACCTATGCATCATCACATTATAAGGCCTCCTCCTAAATTAGACCTATGCATCATCACATTATAAAACCTCCTCCTAAATTGGACTGTTCACTCTTCAAAATGCATCTTATCAGACAAGCAGAGCAGCTTCATCATTCAAGGCCAATATAAAAGCAATGATATTTTTATTAATTGTCCCAAAAACATGGGAATTATATGATGATTTTTGGTAGTTCAGGAATGCATTCCTTTTTGTAATATTGTGCCCATGGGAAATCTTCCTCAAAGTTATAAATGACTGACTCATGAACACCTCAAAATGCAGCCCATTTGTAAGTTGGGGCTGCTTATACCTTTAAAATAGGATAGTGGAATTTTAGCATTCCTTGATCACTTGACTGATTTCACTTTGCATTTTTACTTTGCTTGACTGATTTTACTTTGTACCCTGATGTAAGGGAAAGAACCATATAATAAAAGGCCTTTTCTATAAGCCACATTTACTCTAGATGGGCTTTACTTAAGTCTAATTTAGAGTAGAAAAAGCTCATCCCAAACAAAATGTGATCTACAATAAAGGCTTGTTCTATTTTTACCTGAAAACATGGACTTTTCTTTACATCAGTTTACTTGTTAATCTTCAATCATTTGATGAACAAAAGCTGAGTCACATTCAAGATATTGTACCAAGGATATATATACAGTGGAACCTCGAGTGACAAGCAACTCCAGTTATAAGCATTTCGAGTAACGAGCGAGCCACTCGCAGAAAATTTGTCTCAATTAACGAACAAACTACATGGTGCTTCCTAGCTTTCCGACTGGTTCTCGGACGCCTACGACGACAGTGTTGTTGCTGTTTCGCAAGACGAGCGTTTCACAAGACGAGCTCGGTGCCAGACCGGATTAAATTCGTTAATCGAGGCACCACTATGTATATATATATAAATATATATATATATATATACACATACAATATATAATATAAATATATTATATATATATACACATACAATATATAATATAAATATATATATATATATATATATATATATATATATATATATATATATATATACACATACAATATATAATATAAATATATTATATATATATATATATATATATATATATATATATATATATATATATATATTATATATTATATATACATATATATATGTATATATAACCTTAATCTAAACACATCTACATCTACAGTATACTTTACTCTAAACACAAACCTACGGCTACAGTGTACTTTAATCTTAAGACACCTACAAGAGACACTATATCCATCAAATTGATGGCTCCATCACTCATGTATTTATCTCACATTATGAGCCCGATTGAGATAGCATTCAGATCATGCTTATTAATGCTGTAACTATTTACTGTGGAAACTACACACACAATACTCATCAGTATTTATGAAGGGTACCTGTTCTGAAAGTAAGACTAACAAACGAGCTACAGTATTAGAATAAATAGAAAGCTGAAATAATGTTGTATCTCTAATTAATAAGGTTCGGAGAAGCTGACTGCATTAAACAACAGAGAACATTTTAATTGAATCTCAGCAGAGAAAAATATTAAGTGCTGTTACAATGCAAAAATGAATAATTAGCACTCATGCATAGATTTAATACAGCTATTAACATTCACTTAGGGAAAAAAAGTGTAAATGTTTTGTTTTGCCTTATTTATGCTGATGTTACACTATAGTATTGATCTTTGGGTGCAGTTTAAGCCTTTGCCAACAAAAATAGTGCCAAGGTAATTCAGAAAAACAAAACAAATATATTATTTATAATTAAATATTGTAATTGGGTAAGTTTTGTTTAAGATTAAATAGCAGTTGAATGTGTGTTATGATATGACAAAAATTTATACAATGGTACCTCAGTTTTTATATTTAATCCATTCCCAGAGATGGTATGAAAACCTAAAAATACAAAAACCGAAACAAATTTTCCCATAAGAAATAATGTACAGTAAATTGAATTAATCTGTTCCAAGCCCCCCAAATATATTAACTAAAAAATACATTTTATACAGAATAATACTCTTAGCTACCTTACCTTTATTGAGGACTCTTGTTGGCATATAGAAGACAGTGAGGAAGGGGGAAATGATGAGAGGTATTAGGGTTTGGAAAGTGAGTCCACTTCCATTATAGCTGCAGTGATGACATTTCTGAGGTACTCTCTCTCTTACGCTTTGCAGGCATACCACTAGGACCTGGTTGTGGGTCACTGCTTGCTTGTCTTATTAAGAATCTGTCTAGAGCATTTGTTTTTCCCTACGTTTAACACTTGTCACTAGTGAGACAAGTGTTAAAACATAGGGAAAATTGTCTCACATTGTTTCACTATGAATGATCTCGTTTTTCTTCTATCATCATCTTCACAGCTATTTTCTTAGATTGAACATTACCACTGACTTTCTTGGAACCCATGGCATTATATATAATAAGAACTTTTATGTTCAGAAACAAAAAGCACAAAAACAATTAAATTCTTTACAAAGAATTTAAACACGAGCATCACTAGATGAGGGACACTGGTAAACTGAAGCGCCACGCGCTCGGTGGACCAGTATGTGTATAAACAAATTCCGAAAACCGAGGCATACAACGTGTACCGAATCAAATTTTTTGAAGAAGATAAGACCGAGAACCAAATAATATGAAAAAAAGGGCCATAAGAAAACTGAGGTTCCACTATATTTATAAATAATATATTATTAATATTATTGATAGTAACATAAGTACATGTAGTACTAGGGTAGAATAATAATAATAATAATAATAATAATAATAATAATAATAATAATAATAATAATAATAATAATAATAATAATAATAATAATAATGGCATTAGCAATAGAACTGTAATAGTAGTAGTAGTAGTAGCAGCAGTAAGTAGTATTGTATATAGTATTACTATTTTCTAATAAAACTTTAGCTTACCAATATGTTTAAGTTAAATTTTTTTTAATAAATGACTGATACTTCTATATGAATGCAAGAGATACTGTATATAGTTTGCAGGATCACACCATGCGCATCATTTACCCTCTGCACTAACAACAATAATATGCAGAAAAGGGTGCACACATAACATCTAACGACACGTGTCTATTGGAGCCAGTAACAATCTGGTGCGGGAACTTTCACAAGAAAGGTGTTGCTGGTGAGAGAAAATGGGTGAGTAAATACTAGTTCATGCAACACCAACACCACACGTTAACACTAACAACATTTCTAAGCATCGGCCGAGATATTGGTACCTTATCCATCTGGTTGAGAAGTGAGCCTTCCTCACCACTACTCTGCTTCACTACCTCTAGACGCTCCGTCACTTGACTACGAAACTGTTCCGTTAACTGTGAAACAAGTTTAGTGTTCCTCAGTGCTATAAAGTAGTACGTGTATTCACAAGTGAGGAAATACATCATTTACTATGACTTATGACAATATCTGTGAAAATAATGAGTGTTCTAATTCATCTTCTGTGTACATAAAAGTGTTTCAATTATGAAAAAGCATAAAAAAAAACCCTGGCATCGAGAAATTAAGTATATATTTACTTTGTTTAATTTGGCTAAAAACTCGTTAAAACACACTTCTAATTCTAAATCTACTTTGCACACATCTTAAATTAAATATTTTTATGTTAGATAAGTTGGGTTCATTTTAACATACTAAACACCCAATTTTCTGTACATAAAATCTTTCCCTAAGTGACCACAATCAAGCTTCCCACATTAATGTGACTTCATACAGGGCACATAAATAGTCCTACCTTATCTACTTGTGACAGGAAGGATCCCTCTTGTGAGTTCTGTTTGTCCTTGATCAGTTCTTTGGCAGAAGAGGTAAACTGATCTAACAGCGAGTTCTGTGAGCACTGTCTTGTCGGTCCGCCACCTGAGCTCCCCGACCCAAGACTGGAGGCTCGGGCCAGCATGCTGCTGAACGAGCTCTGCTTCTGGGGTGTTGGACTAGCCTGATGTGGTTGGAAATTAAGATATAGCAAGAAGAGATTGATCTTCACGATACACCAAAATATTTAGGGCTTGAGCCAATATGCCAAAGCCGGAGGTTGAGATTATACATTGAGGCAAGTATTCATGGTCAGTAAGAAATATGGTATTGAAGCTAAATTAAATGCGAGAGAAATAGGGAAAGGGGAGAGGAAGGGAATGAGAAGAATGAACATGGGAAATGGGGAGGGAGAGAGAGAAAGGTGATGAGGGACAGAATATGAGGAAAAAGTGAAATAAAAGGAACTGCAGAAAGGATATAAACAAAAAGAGGAAAGCAGGAGGGAAGAATAGAAGGGAAGGATAGGGAGGGGAAGGGAAGAAGATGGGAAGAGGAAAGGAGAATTCTCTCCCATAAGAGAATGGGAGAGAAAATAATGTTTCAACTATTTTAAGCTCATGATAAACAAATGAGTTTATTATAATGATGACTATATGTGCATAAACTAGATATATTTTGATCATAACTTATTAAAACAGGTATTGCCAGTTTCTATGCCAGGCATATTCCATAAAATACCTTTAATATGATGGCTGATTTAAACCCATAGCATAATATAAGTAAGTCTAGCATTTTTATGTACATTTTGAGCATTATTTGAAAGAAAATAAGTTCAAGGATTTTTGTATTAAGATTTACTGTCACTAAGTGGCCAAGGTTGCCATCTGGTGGTTGGGGAGTATTACTAACCAGCATTTTGAACTACATAACAAGTGTTTACATAGTCTCCTGACCAGGGAGGATTTACTGGGTACAAATCCTTAACTGGAGCCTCTGTTTAACCAAACAGTAAAATGTGTACCTGGTTGTTAAACAATTTGGTGGGTCGTATTCCGGGGTACATAGACTTAAGGACTTGCCCGAAACACTATGTGTGCTAGTGGCTGTATAAGAATGTAAGAACACTTGTATATATAAATAAATAAAAATAAATAAAATGAAAAAAGTCTGGAATGCAAATGCTGTTCAACCAGTTGTTTGTTTTGCAGCACTCAATCTTTCTGGTGGTTTTTCCAGGGCTAGGGATCTGTTAGATCCCTAGACTCCTTTTTACCTCTCATGAGGGGGCCACGTTCTGGTCCATGTCGATTGATAGGCACTCATGAGTTATTAGAGCCTGTTTGTCAGTAGCTTAAAAGTGTGCATACAAATGCAATCTTGACCACATGCTAGGGGGGCTGGCGCAGTATTGATCTTTAAGCACAACTTCAAGATTGTGACAAACCAATAATATGGCAAGGGGAATATATCTTATTATTACCTCTGCTCCTACCATGTAATTTAATCAGAAGTGTAGCCACAGTGTGAGATAAGCTTTTGGCCAACTTTGAGTGTGCTTAGAGATAGATCATTCTCATCAGTTACAGATGCACTAGTGTAAAGACATCCCACATTTATCTGTTATTCTTATCTTCCACATCCACACTCCAGAAAGACTGGGCAATCTCCTTGTCTGCTAACATAATGTTTCCTAGTCCTCAGCATCAGAATCTAATATCATCCCATTGACAATTTAACTTTGATCTCAAAAGCAAACATGAATTAATTAGTCTTCCTCTGTAACACCTTAGGTATCCGTAAAGATGAGTGACCAGAACTGTATTATATTTTGTCCATTGTATCGAGATGCTTGTAAATGGGTGACCACTGAATATGTCATGAATACAAAAATTTTACCACAAATAGTGTGAAGAATCTTGTTAAGAGCAATCACAAATTATTCCATATACAGTATGTATATTTAAACATAATTTTAACGTGAAATATATATTACATCAGTGTAATACACCCATAGCAAGGAAAGATACCTTCCACCAATTTTTAAATTATTGATAATTGTTTATAAAAAGAGCAATTTTTATATTTAAAAATAAACCAGCAATTCTTGAATTTAGTTCCAGCATTGATCATTCATTAACAATTTTGCTTCAAGCTGGCAATTCCATCTAAACTAAATCATCTCTTCTCACTCACTCTACTCGACTCACCCCCTTAGAGAATGTCCTAGGCCGTGGAGTGGCAGGTCGGTCACGCTCTGAGGAGGAGGTCGCTATGGAGGCATCGCTACTGACAGAGGGGGTAGGGCTTATATGGGGAAGTGGAGACTGAGTATTGCTCACCACTGTCTTTGGTGTTGTTGTTGCAGAGTCACTCTCGGGTGTGAAGACTTCATCACTTTTCTCCTGTAATGCAAATATACAAACATGCAAATTAAGTAACAATTACATCATTTGTATATGAAACATGAAAACTTATTATTTGAGCAAATGATGATGGATAAATTTTATGAATATAGGCTAAAGCTGATATATAAAAGTATTTTCTATGTTTATTGTTTATGTACAGGTGTTACCAATACTTTATGTATATTGTATGTATGTATGTATGTATGTATGTATGTATGTATGTATGTATGTATGCATGTATGCATGTATGTATGTATGTATGTACGTACGTATGTATGTATGGAGTTCTCCACCAACATTTCCTTCAGAACACTAAGAAATCACAATGATGTGAAATATCAATGAGAAAAATCAGTTTGAGTAGGGATTTGAACCAGTGGTCTGATGAATACCAGACATGCACCTGAACCCACTAGGCCATGACAGGACAAACGTTACTCAACCTGGGACTCAACTGAGTGTACTAACAGAGTCTAGAGGCCCCAGCTTTGGTATTCAGTGAATTTATTCCAAAGACAATACAGTACCTGGAGGATTGAGTGATAATAGGTACAGTGAGGATGGAAAGCTGTTGTTGAGATATATAACATTTATCTGGATGTTTTTTATTATTTCTGGCTTAGTACCATGTGATGAAAAGGAACTGAGGAACGCCAAAGTTACTGTGTCGTTTCTTGTGGCCATGGAATTATCGTATTCGGTATTCTTGGTCAGTTAGGAGAGACTACCTGAAGCACTACCTCAAAACCACATACAAATTAAGTCTTACCAGGCAAATAAGGTTAACGAAGGCTATTTATACAGTTAACCTACTGCAACCTACCAGTGCTTCTGTCCGTAGAGGCAGAGGATGCAGCGTGGGTGTGGGAGCTATGAGGTTCTCAGCATCTTCTAGTTTCATCACACCTTCTCCTGTTTCTTCTTCATCATCATCATCTCTCTGGTCAGCAGAGGACAATGATGAACGTGATGAGGAAGTTGACAGGGATTTAACACAGTATTTCGCTCGGGGATGACGCAGCATTGCGTCATCCGTTTACTGGCGGTAATGCCGGGGATGACACAGCATTGCGTCATCCACTTTAAAAATTCGCCAAAAATCAGGTTTTTATCCGATTTTTTTGGGACTGGTTTTAAAATGCGCGCCGATGTCTTCCCATTTTCTTTGTTGCGCCTAGTGGCCCGCAGGCGGCGCAGCACACGCCGTCGGCCCATTGTTTTTGCTCCACTGTTGTGACCGGTGTCGCCTCCCCTCGCGTCTCAAACGTGTGAACATTTCGGCTATTTTTCGTGGCTGTATTTCTTACTGCGGCTTCAGAAACTATCTACGCTTACTCCACGATGGATAGTGATCATGAACAAGGCCCTTCCAGGAAGAAAATTGTGAAAGAAAGGCATGAAAAACAGAAGCCGAGTAGTGTACAGGAGAAGTACAAGCATGTGAGACTAACTCCCTCTAAGTTTCAGGCTGTATTTGACGATTTGTCTGGGTCATCTAGTGATGAAACTGATGTTGGTATTGATACTGATGCAAGTAGTGAACATTTAGAAACAGAGACGGCCGATGAGGATTTTGATAGTGATGAAAGTGAGGACAGTGAGGAGTCTGAGGTCGAGACTGCCACTCGTGCACGGTGCGGTACTGGAGCTCGTGCAAGAGCCAGACGTACCACACGTACCACACGTACCCCAGCACCAACAGATTCTGATGATGGATGGTGTAGTGACAATACTGCACCCTTTGTGGACAATTTTACAGGTACACCAGGCTTGACTGTTCCTGTACCTACCACTGTTCTTGGATTCATTCAACTCTTTCTGACACAAAAATTGCTGAAATATATTGCCTATGAAACAAATTTATATGCTTCCCAAAATAAGGCAGGTACTGGGCAAAGTACAAAGCACAGATGGCAACCAGTGACAGTGAAGGAAATTGCTAGATATATGGGACTGACGATCTTGATGGGTATTTGCCCGTTTCCCGTATTGTACAGGCAATGTTGTTCTTCAATTGGCCCTTATATGCACATATCCATCTGAAGAATTCTATTAGGAACATTTTCATACCTAAATGAGCGCTGTAACACGAAAATTGAGATTACCACCAGGAAATAATACTAAACATATGTGGGCAGGAATTGGGAGTGTAGCAGGAAGGCGTCTGAGCGCTCACTCATGGCTAACGCGTGGCCCGTCTTCAACTCGTCGGCGGTTGGAGCGTGACCAGGTTTTTTATTTTATATGCTAATATTCCTCTAGAGAATTCTATTACGAATCCATTGAGACCAAAATGAAAGACCTAGGACGAAAATTGAGGTGACCAGAGTGAAAATAGTGAAAACATTTTATCGCGTTTGCGCGCTCCCGGGTAACTCGTTCGCACTTTCTCTGCTTGCTGCGGGTAATTAGCCGGGCTTTTGGAGTTTATATGCATTTAGTGCTGTAGAGAATTTTATTGCGAACACAATGATACCAAATTTAATCTCGTAGAACGAAAATTGAGGTGACAAAGTTGAAGAGAGTATACACTTTTCGGAATTGACGCGCCCTTCCGTGACACGCTGGGGCCCATATGCTAGGAAGATTGCCCTGTCGAGGGGTGGCGCATGGGGGGTGCGCCGAAAGTGTTAAAACGGTCCCTCCTGGACCATTCTCAAGTCATTCTCACAATCGACTTGAGAATGGTCCAGGACGAACCGAAACGTTGTTGTCCCTTCACCTTCTAGTGTGTGGTCTGGTCAACACACTTTAGCCACGTTATTGTGACTCATCGCCTGCATACCTGTCGTTCTCATATAGGGTAAAATGCAAATTGATGCTGTCAACTAAAGGTAACCAGGATTAGTAGCCATTTGGAAAAAAAACCTGATAGTTAGTGAGCGTACTACTTTGATGTCCCTGTGATGCCAAATAAGTTTTACAAGGCTGCATTGAGGTGTTTTGAGTGCATCCCTAGCACCAGTATGATCCACCCAGCAGAATGTTGGAAAAGATCCCAGCTGCAACAGTGCAGATGTTGATAGCATGGTCCTGTTCAATGGGTCCAGAAAGGATATTGCCTTTGGAAACAAGTGAGTGTTCTGCTTATAAATGACCTTTTCCCTATCCTCTAAAAATCTTGATTTTTCTACAGTTAAATAAATAATGATAAATACAATACAGAATAAACTAACAATTAACACTTTCGCATCCTGATGCCGCATAGTCCGACATAAAAACCAAAGTACTCAGAGTTCCTGATGACGCAAATGTCGGCATTAATTTGAAAAATTAAAAAAATTCCTCTTCTTGTCTGAATACTATGGGACTTGTTTTAAAATGCGCGCCAACATCTTTGCCTTCTCTGTATACCTCACATGGCATCCCAGCCCTGCTGCATGGGTGCCCACTCACACTAGAGGCTCATGGTTCTCATGACCTTGCTCCCGACCGCCGCTGCCTCTCCTCCAATCGAAAAGTTCCCAGTTCCGGTTATTTTATCTCAGGTATTTGTTGTTACTGACTTTATAAACACTGCAAATTTACTTCAAGATGGATAGTGATCAAGAACAGAGACAATCCATGATAAAAGCAGTAAAAGAAACGCATGAGGGAAAAGTTGTGGAGTGTTTGTCAATAGTATAGAAAAGTAAGACTTAGATCTTCTTATGTGCAAATATCCCTTTACAGCATTCTATTGCCAACAATTTGATACCAAACTGAATGATGTAGCACAAAAATTGAGGTGAGAAAACTAAAAAGAGTATAAACATTGGAGTGTGGTTGCGAGCTCATGGGTAACGCTTGGCCGACATTGCAGGGCTTGACAGGTCAAAGTATAGAAAAATGAAACATATGTTTTTATATGCAAATATCCTTTTACAGTATTCTATTATGAACAAATTGATACCAAACTGAATGACCTAACGTGAAAATTGATGCGAGAAAGCTAAAAAGAGTATAAACATTGGAGTGTGGTGGTGAGCTCACAGGCAACGTTCAGCCGACCTTGCAGTGCGCGGCAGGTCGCCCTCCGAGCCAGCAATAATGTTAACATAGAACAAAAGTAGATATATTTGTAAAGCTATGAAACTAGCATCACACCATATTGTTCACATCAGCAAACACATCTGATTTACCCGAGGGCCACTAACCCTTGTGGCATCGACAAGGACAGGAAGCTGGCGGCTTGTCAAAGGTCCCCCCCCCCTGGCAAACAGACATAGTTTAGACCGTAACTTACCAGAATCTGAGGACTGAGCTCCAGGAAGCTGAAGACAGGAAGGAGGATGACAAACTGATCGAGGGTCAAGACCAGAGCACAATGTGGCCTTCTCTTTTTCTGTTGCTGCCCCACACCCTGATAATCACAGTATAGAAAGATTACATAATAATTGATTTCATGTTGTAAAATCACAGAGTATTGTAAAAAATAAAAAATAAAAAACAAATTAGCAGTGCATAACCATAGTGGTTTTTAATTAATTGCATCGGGGGACAGACTGCCAGTGTGTATATATATATATATATACACATGTTATCCTTATACTGTATTGAGGGCCTTCCCTCCACAAGGTCAAACTGCTGTCCCTCCCTAGGATGCAACCCCACAACAAGCCGACTAACTCCTGGGTACCTATTTATTGCTAGGTGAACAGAAGCATTAGGCAATAGGAAATGCACCCAAACATTTCTGACTCACCTGGGATTTCAGACCAGAATTCCCGATTGCGAGTCAAGAACGAACCCGTCTGTACTACCAGGACTACTGGGGATTATGTATCAGAATAATAATAATAATAATTGTTATAATAATAATAATATTAATAATAATAATAATAATAATAATAATAATAATAATAATAATAATAATAATCATAATAATAATAATAATTATAATAATAATAATAATAATAATAATTATAATAATAATAATAACAATTATAATAATAATTAAAATGTGGCATCTTACTCAAACAAACCAATTAGGACAGGACCTATTCTGTTTCAGCAAGAATTTCATCTAACAAAAGAATCTTAATTTTTAGCAATTGATTTATATAAAATGAGAATATTAAAGAGATTCATAATGACACCTATTCATTCACCGTACTTTCTATATTACACAATATCACAGAGAACCAGCACTACCCACCCTTCAGAAATTCATCCACAGTAACATCTCGCTGTGTCATAAGACTAAGTAGAGACTTCTCGTGAGTTATCACATAAAACCATCCTGGATAGCTTCACCTTATTTATTTATTTATTTATTTATATACAAGAAGGTACATTGGGTTTATAGGAGTACATAGCATTAAATGTTTTTACAGTCTTGTAAGGCCACTAGCATGCATAGCATTTCAGGCACCTGATTCTAATCCTGTAAGTCTTAAAAGCCTACTGGATCCCTCAGTGAGGCACAAGGAGCAGAGGATTTTATTCAGCAGAGGATTAGTACTAAGTTTTAGTCTTTAGTGTTTTTCCTGCCCGAAACGCTTTGCGTAATAGTGGCTTTAGGCATTGTATGTACTAGCTCTATCTATAAATTCATCAATATCTGTATCACCCCTTGTATGTATGTGCTTTACCTAAATAAACATTTGAATTTGAATTTGAATTTGAATTTTGAGGAGGCAAGATCACTCTAAGAGCAGGAAAAAGTCACCAGAAGGGTTATCTTGAGGTTATCTTGAGATGATTTCGGGGCTTTAGTGTCCCCGCGGCCCGGTCCTCGACCAGGCCTCCACCCCCAGGAAGCAGCCCGTGACAGCTGACTAACTCCCAGGTACCTATTTACTGCTAGGTAACAGGGGCATTCAGGGTGAAAGAAACTTTGCCCATTTGTTTCTGCCTCGTGCGGGAATCGAACCCGCGCCACAGAATTACGAGTCCTGCGCGCTATCCACCAGGCTACGAGGCCCTTGGTAGGGCAAGCCACAACAGACAACAGCAAGGTAATATTATTAAAATTTAAAACACAAGAAAAACAAAACAGGAAAAAATAAACAAAAATAAAATAGTACAGTACAGTATATGATAAAAAGGTAAATTTAGGTAAAAAATCAATGCAGAAAAATTGGTAAACCAGCCGGCAATTCTCTTTCTAGAATCAGCCGACTGCCGCCAGGTTGCTGTCCCCAGATGCACCCTCTTCCCCCCCATGATTACATGGCCTGTCTTATCCAATGAAAGGCCAAAACAACAAAGGATACAAAACGAGGGATGCTTTTCCACCCATTGGGTTATAAACCAATGAAACAGTCTACCAAAACCAAATCAGTTAAACCAAACCAGAAATTTTTGGTTTAACTTATCCTGTTTTGTTTTAATTGCATCTTCTATTTTAATTTTATCTTTTTGCCTGTTTTGGTTTGCCCCTACTTTTCTAATATTTTTTTTTCCTTAAATTAAGAGTAATCTTGCATCCTTTGCTACTTGTTCCCTCTGAGGGCAACAGCTTTTGGCCTCTGGCTTCTGGTAGGATTTCAAGACTTGCAAGGGCGTGATGCGATCTGAATTATGTGGAGTTATCCAGGACGTAGCAATAGGGAGCCACCGATGAAGCCCTCCCAGCAAACATGTCAAACATTAACTTAAGAAATTTTTTGTTAAATTTACCATCTCAGATGTTTTCTATAAACCTCATGGCCCAACTATATAAATATATATTATTTACCTTTGTATATTAATACATCTTCAGAAGGAGTGAATTTTCCTCCGTGGTCTGACACTGTCACATTTTTAATCACGTGTTTATTTTCGTGATATACACACATATTATTTACCGTATACTATAAAACTTATCTCTGGGAATGAAATTACAAAAGATGATTGTATTTTGTAAGAATAGAATAACTGTACACAAAAAGTATAGTATGGGTGCAAATGCAAAAAGCCTATACAAAAAATGCAAAGAGCCATAGTATAGGCCAATTGTACTGTATTTATCAACAACTAAAAGCTCATTAGAGCAGTACCTGGGGAGAGGTCTGAGGACTGCATATCTGATACAAAATCACTTAAAGATGAATAAGAGCTGCTGGTACTTTCCCCACCCTCTGAGTCACTGCCACTCTCATCTGAAATATCCAGAAGGAACAAAAATAAAGAAAATGACCCTCAAAAAAATGTCTAATCATAAAATTACCCATCTTTTATAATCAAAGAGTCTCGAACCAACTATTAACGTATAAGTAGCTAAATCTTATATAGAGCTCAAAGCAGGATGGAAGAAGCAATACTTTAAATCAATCATGCTGAAAATGTTTCACCTGTACGATTCAATTGCATATATGATAAAATCACACTGTTGAATATTCTAATGCATCTCCGACAGAAAACATTATTGATGTATTATCATTTTGCCTCATGAGTCTTATCTTTTATAATATTTCACTTTTAATCTAAGACATTTTTCTGATACTTTGAGGAAGGTTAATGCAAAAATCATTATCAAATATAGTGGGACCATGCTCGAGTGAACTACAGTACTTGTAAGTGAATGAAATGTGGATTAGGTGAAGGGCAGTGCACTCTGATGATATGAATAACTTTGATGTCCAACAAATTTATAACATGAAGGGTGTCGATATAAAACCAGCGTTGAATGTAATGAAACGCCATTTTCTGGATGAGCTCTGGAGGCTCCCCGGAGTTTATTGGGCTGATATGTATGTATTAGACCGTGGCATCCGTCAATTCGATTGGAGTTCTTGCCTACCCGGGACCTCGGCCCAGAACCTGGCCCCCTCAGAGAAGCACGAGGAGCAATGGCCTATAGAAATCTCCATGTGGTTGGAAGCATTCCATATCTCCCATCGACTGGGTTAAGCACCGATGAAGGTAGGCATCCCAAAACAAACTCCACCTGGTTCAAAATTGCTACCAAAAGCCAAACTATCAAGCAGAACTCCCAAATCCAAAAACAAACAAGACATCACAACTGTTGATGCTCTGCCATCTGCATAGATTCCCCCTCCCAAGGAGGGGGAGCCCCAGACCCCTGCACCAGCCATCCAACCCCAGTTCAGAGGCTGAATATCAGAAAGGCGAATACTAGTACTGCCACCCAGAGGGAGGAAGAAAGGGTTGACAGAGAGTCTCCGGAATTCACCCAGAAAATGGCATTTCATTACAATCAATGCAGGTTTTCTGTGGAGTGCCCCTCTGGCTCCCCATAGCTGCCTAACCACAGAAAAAGTAAGAGGGACTTACCTGGGAGGCAGCAGCCACTTGCACCTCAACGTGAAGTCGAGACAATTGGCTGCAACCTGAGACCCAAAGCGACACACGCTCGACTAGGGCCAGGAACATTAACGAGGTAACGGGCGACCAGAACCCTGTTTGACCTCCAAAACCCCCGCGCTCAAATGTCAGCCTAAGACATACCAGTATTATCAAAAACGGTAGCTAAATCAACAAATTTGTGAATGCATGGGCATGAGGATAGACTGCAGGCAGGCTGGACCACACATCCCTGCACAAAACCTGGGAGATCTGAGCCCTAGAACAGAGAAGAAGGGAAATTGGGTCAACACAAAGCGTGTCCCCCGCCACCGAAGCCGAGGCGCACAAATAACGGCAAAGAGTTACAACCGGACACAACACATGATGCACCCCCGGCCGAACCAATCAAGCATCAACTACCCAAGGACTCCTCAGGAACGCCAAAAGAGCAGAAACCCCTGTGCCAGAGGAGAGCATGAAGCTCCCTGACCCGACCCCCAGAGGTCAATGCCAACAAGAAAAAGAGTCTTATCAATACAATCCCAAACTGAAGGGCCACCAAAAACAGAGGAGAGAGAAAAGAGAGTACCCAGTCCAACGACCAGGACAGCTCAGGCGGCGCATGAGCAGGAGGCACAGCACTGCACAGAGATAGGAGCCAAAGTCGAACAACTGCCACTCAACACATCAGCCTCAGAACTGGGATTGGATGGCCGGTGTGGGGGTCTGGGGCTTTTCCCCCCTTCACCCTCACGGGGAGGGTGAAGTTGCGCAGACAGCGGCGTGGCAGCTGTGGTGACGTCATGCTTGTTTTCTAATTGGGGGAGTTGTTCTTGCTCGTTCTGCTTTCGGTTTGCAATGTTTAACCAGCTGTAGTTTGTTTTGGAATTCCAACCTTTCTGGGTGCCTAACCCAATCAATGGCAGACATGGAATGCTTCCAACTACATGGGGGTGCCTATAAGCCATCGCTCTTAGTACTTCTCTGAGGAGGCCATGTTCTTGTTCGTGGTCCCTGGTAGGCCTAGAACTCCATCGATTGACTGTTGCCACAGTCTAATATATACACATCAGCCCAGTATAGCTCCGGGGAACTGGAGGGGCTCTCCACAGAAAAGTAATAATTACACCGGAAAACTAGACAATATTCATACCTGTGGGAGGATTATCAACTTGTGTGCCTGCTCTGAGCGTTGCACCAAGAGAGCTGCCATCCTGCCACACTCTAAAGCCAATAGGCTCTAAGGTGTGGGCATACCACTTGCTTTTATCACCTATTAGCGTAGGATCAAAGACGCCAGTGTTTACTCTGAGAAAGGCCATATTTGAAGGTGTGAGGGACCACTCTGCTAGAAATTCTACTGCCTGCAAGTAAAAATAAAAATATATATAAATAAAATTAGGGAGACAAAATTCAAATGCCTGTCCCTCTACATAAAGTGAGAGATTATAATGCATCCAGACAATCATACAAAAAGGTACAATGTAACTGAAATATGGTACACTTATATGTAGCATATGTGGAGATGGTATTTTAAGAATACAGTATTTTTTCATTACTGTTTTCCTTTTGGGTTCTCTGAGTACCTCAAATTTATCTTTACTGTGGCCTACTCTAAAAAAAATCTTCTGAGTGGGACACATTTATCTCTGATGGTCAAAATCCGAAATAAAAGGTCAAAATGGGTAAAAAAAAACGAACATGAATTCATTCAGATCACTTGGAAATTTGGATTACCAGAATTTGAATTACTGAGCTCTAACTGTACATGAATTTACATTAAGGTTGATAAAACAACTTACCTGTGTGCGAGCAAACATGTTGAGGAATGGTGTAGCTCTGGGTCTGGACCTCAAGAAAGAGTTTATTTGGAAAGCTACCACAGGTCTTGGGTACAGACGGAGAGTGCGAGTATGTTCAGTGAAGTTGGCAAGAATGTTTTGAGAATTGAAAAATCGCACCATTGCAACTCTTGTGGCAATGTCAACAGAATCCACATCATTACCTAAAGAGCACAACAAAATATATAATGTACTATAATGAATTATATATGAAAACACGTTTTAATGAACAGTTTGCTAGCACAAAAACAAACCTAAAAAATATTTGTATATTACTCAATTAATTTCAACACTAATTAACACAAATGCATATTGTATTCTAACTGAATGAGTAATTTAGAAAAAATGCTGTACATTTACAAAATACATTAACAGAGAGGAAAGCAATGTACAGTACTGCAATAAAGTATTCATACCACCACACTATTAATATCATTGAACATAGGCTACAGATACAGATACTAGCGAGCTGTTCTTATTTGTTGCACAATATTGCTAATGGCATTAATCACATCAAAAGTATACCATATTAATAAAGCCAAATACTGTAAGTATTATTTTGTTTCTTCTTTTTCTTCACAATACATACAGTTTGCATGAAGGTATATCCTCCCGATGACTGTACGAGTGGTGATGTAGAAAGATGCGTACTGTACTGTATATGACAATGCACAACAACACATCAACGGTCACGACGTGCCCAAGTCAAGAAGATAACGACCCCGTCAAGGCAGGCGAGGATAAAGGCAAAATAAACAAGAGGAAAGGAACGTAGGATAAGAATAAAGAAAACTGAAGGTGAATGCAAAGCGTCGCCGCAATAAAGAAAGCAAGGGATGGAGGCAAGAGACAAAGGGCGGGGGGGCAAAGGATGTGAAGGAGGCAAGCGTAAATGTGTAGAAGGGTAGAGGAAGTCAAGACGGGACAGGCGAACTTAGGACAGGGTAAGGTACGGAGATGGCATCCAGAGCCTCACGACTGGGATGCTAACACATCGGACTCCACAGAAGCGCCAGCAGAACAACGGGAGGAAGACCTAGGAAGGGCACAAGGACAAGTCGCGGGAGAACGAGATGTAAGAGACCCATCATGCAAGGTAGCAGGGCACCTGGAAATCGGGACGAAGGAGGACTGCTTCCGCTTAGTACCAGGGGTAGAGACGTGCAGCAAGGCAGCCTGGGGAGAGACACAGGGAAGGCTCGCCAAAGAGTTCCGAAGGGCGTTGTCCAGCATCAATTCAAATGCACTGGAGATAGCAGAGACAGCCACGGGAGGATGGACATTAACTGTAGAAGAAGCGAAGGAGAGGAGCGACGAGTCAGCCTCAGGAACAGGAAGGACGGACTGTGGAAAGAATTTAGTGACGAGGCGGACCAGCACCGTCTCGAGTGCATTCACAAGGCGAGCGACAATAGCGTCAACAAGATTGGGACTCAGTTGAATTGCGGGTGGGAAAGAAGAAGCCTCAGGGGCTAGAGGAACATCAGTGACAAACAGGTCAAGCACAGGCAAAGGCGGCGGGGGAGGGGGAAGCGGCGGGTGACAAGGAACTGGGGCAGGACAAGGCAAAGCACGACTGGAGGGCAGAGTGATGATGGGAAGAGCCTTAGTGAGCGCCGCAACGTAAGAAGGACACTGCTTGAAAGTGATGGCATGATCACCACCACAGTTGGGGCAACAGAGCTTGTCGGACTCACAGCCACGAGTGTAATGGGAACCAGAGCATTTGCCACAACGAACGTCATTAGTGCAGCCATTGGAGGTATGATGAAAACCCTTACAACGAAAGCACTGAGTGGGACGGGAAACGTACACCTCCAATTTATGGAGGAAGTCATTAATCCAAACCCAATCAGAGGGGAAGAAGTCAAGAAAAGTAAGTAGGGCAGTGACAGTATCACACAGGTCGTGATCAATTCTACGCATAAATTTCTTGACACCAAAGATCAGAATGTCAGCATCCTGCAATTGCGTCTTAATGTCGTCCACACTAATGTCAACAACATGTCGGACCATATATCCTACCAAGCAGTAACCCAGAGGCGTATAACAACAGACCTTGTAACCACAGATATCAATAATGTTTATTTTTTGTTTACTTGCATACTCTGAATTACAAAACTTGCATTAATAATTAATAATAATAATAATTGACTGTGCCAGGGGACAAGAAGCCAGAGTGTATTCGTGTATTCATACACATTTGGCTTTTATTGAGGGCTTCCCCCCCCCCCCCAGGGCAAATTGTTAGCCCCACCCAGGATGCAACCCAACGACAAGCTGACTAACTCTTGAGTACCTACTCACTGCTAGGTGAACAGAGGCATTAGGTGAAAGGAAATGTGACCAACCATTTCTGTCCCTCCTGGAATTCGAACCCGGTATTCTCAACTGTGTGTCGAGAACGAACCCGACTGTACTACCAGGACCCTTTTAATTTATTTTAATTAATGTGTAAGCTATAGTTTCTGTTTACTTCCTAAATAAAATTTGGTATGACTTTCTTGATGTAGTCCAGTCATGGCAATTGTACTGTATTTATACAGTACTGTATTTATACGTACTGTATTGTATATGAACTGTACTTAAAGCGGTTGGTTGTTTGACAACAATTATTAAATATTTACAGTATACTAGTACTGTATGTGAATTATAGAATCTCTGATTATTAGTTAAATTATGGGTAGTTAATTTAATTAATTACTGGTAGTTAAATTTGTTCATTTAAACTTAAATTAACAAGTTTAAATTAAATTTAACTTTTATTTAAAGTTTGAATTAAACTTTAATTTAAAAGTTTTAAATTAAACTTTAAACAAATTCAAAGTTTAATTATTTTTAATTAAATTAAACAAAGTTTTAAGATATAAACGTTCATTTTGTAGATGTGTTGAGTCAAACTAATATTAGTGAAGTCTTACTTTGATATGATACAGAAAAAAATAATTCATACCGGCTCAGCTGGCCCTGCAGTGATGCAAGCACTTAATAAAATTATGTAAAATGCAACTTTCTTAGAAAATTATATACAGTATTGATGATTTTTAGGACCTTGTATCTTCATCCATTCCAATGAACTACAATATATACCCTTAAATTTGATCTATAAACCATTAAACTATGGTATTGTTATCAAGTGTTTCTGCAGTGCTTCTAGCAAGTTGATGTGAGTTGAGCCAACCTGTAAAGTTTGTAATTACCCAAGAATAATTACCTGTTTAGTTAGATGAGAGCTACACTCATGGTGACCAGTCGTCCATATTTTATCGGCAGCTTTCAAGAATTCTCCTTTGTCAGTTTTGCCCATTCCTGTTACAAGCATATCACCTCTTTTTCTTGTTGACCAGACCACACACTAGAAGGTGAAGGGACGACGACATTTCGGTCCATCCTGGACCATTCTCAAGTCGACTGTCTTTGGCGACATTCTCACAATCGACTTGAGAATGGTCCAGGTCGGACCGAAACGTCGTCGTCCCTTCACCTTCTAGTGTGTGGTCTGGTCAACATACTTCAGCCACATTATTGTGACTCATTGCCTCCACCTCTTTTTCTTCTATTTTCTAACTCTGGTACATGTATCAGTTTAGCCTCTCTTCACGGCTCTTGTTTTCCAGCTCCAGAAATTATTTATTTGCATGTGCTTGCATTTTTACATCAAAGTATGTGACTTCTCACAACTGTACGTATTATATAAATAATAATAAATGTTTATTTAGGTAAACTTTCATATTGTTTAGTGCTCTAACCATATGTCGCCATCACTGGGTTATGACCTGCCTGTGCTCCAAAATAGTAAATAAACTATTTTTTATATTTATTCATTACAAATAATGAGTCTTTATATATTATTTGTGTGTCTATGTATGCCTGTGTGTTGTAAATATGTGTTGTATCATGTGCTATAAGAAAATATAAAATATTTGGTGGTACTGTAGCCAAAAAAGGGCAAATTTAAGGAAATCCTCAGACTGGAACGATATAATACAGATTTTTTAGGTTCGCTTGTATAAGGGTGTGAAGATTGACTGAACAGAAAATTGTGCTGATGCTATGGATGAATTGTTGGAGTGTGGAAGTAATGTTTCTCTATGTTACTATGTATAGTGTGATATACATGGTGAGTGAACAGATGTCCTCTTTAACATACAGTAATTTGCCTTCTTTTTCAATACCGCTCCTCTTTTTTCAGACTAATGCCTTCCCACCTCACCAGTGTGAGAACCAGGATAATGATGAGGAGTACCTAAGTAACAGGAGACAACGAGTCAGTGTGAGGGGTGAGGTCTCAGATTGGCGAGACGTTACGAGTGGAGTACCGCAGGGGTCAGTCCTTGGACCTATACTGTTTCTGATATATGTAAATGATCTTCCAGAGGGTATAGAATCGTTTCTCTCAATGTTTGCCGATGATGCAAAAATTATGAGGAGGATTGAAACTGAAGACGATAGTAGGAGGCTACAAGATGACCTAGACAGACTGAGTGAATGGTCCAACAAATGGCTGTTGAAGTTCAACCCGAGTAAATGCAAAGTAATGAAACTAGGCAGTGGAAATAGGAGGCCAAACACAGGATACAGAATAGGAGATGAAGTACTTAATGAAACGAACAGAGAGAAAGATCTAGGAGTTGATACCACACCAAACCTGTCTCCTGAAGCCCACATAAAATGAATAACGTCTGCGGCATATGCGAGGCTGGCTAACATCAGAACAGCGTTCAGGAACCTGTGTAAGGAATCATTCAGAATCTTGTACACCACATATGTAAGACCAATCCTGGAGTATGCGGCCCCAGCATGGAGCCCGTACCTTGTCAAGCACAAGACGAAGCTGGAAAAAGTCCAAAGGTATGCCACTAAACTATTCCCAGAACTAAGAGGCATGAGTTACGAGGAAAGGCTGCGGGAAATGCACCTTACGACACTGGAAGACAGAAGAGTAAGGGGAGACATGATCACAACCTACAAAATCCTCAGAGGAATCGACCGGGTAAACAAGGATGAGCTATTCAACACTGGTGGGACGCGAACAAGGGGGGACAGGTGGAAACTGAGTACCCACATGAGCCACAGAGACGTTAGAAGGAACTTTTTCAGTGTCAGAGTAGTTAACGGATGGAATGCATTAGGCAGTGATGTGGTGGAGGCTGACTCCATACACAGTTTTAAATGTAGATATGATAGAGCCCAGTAGGCTCAGGAATCTGTACACCAGTTGATTGACAGTTGAGAGGCGGGACCAAAGAGCCAAAGCTCAACCCCCGCAAGCACAAATAGGTGAGTACAGTATTATTATTGTTAATAAAACTTATAAATGAATTTAAGCAAAAGAACTTAAAGAAACAGAAGGAGCAGAATGCATCATGTCTGCTGGGTGGAATCATGTTTGAAGCTGGCTTCTGTGGTGTGCATTTGTATTGGGAGACTCAATAACAGAAATGTTGGCTACTACAACTCTCTAAAGTACCAGTTCAAGATAATGTAACTTTTACTGTACTTATAATTATATCCAAAATACATGTTGGTTATTTAGCATTCTTATAGAAAATTTTGATTAACTGTTAAATCAAATCTCAAGTAATCCAGTGAAATAGTGAGTCACTGTTTGAAAGAAAATAACTAACCTTATCACTAGGATACTAGATATTTAGATACACACAGAAATCACAATAACGTGATATATCAAGGCGCATTTGGGAACATCCCGTGCGTAGGTTCGAACCCTCATCCCTCATCAAATCCACGGCCCTTGTGAATTTGTTCAATAGATATAATAGATCTCATAATTGTATTGTATAATCCTTGAAAGTAATCAGTATAGTGTACATAAATTTTTATAGGTAACAGTTCCAACCGTGCAAGAAATGTAGCAGACTGTTTACCCCTTTATTTGCAGCATTTTACTAGTCGCACCATTTACCTTCTTGTCTAATTATCTATTAATCTTTTTAACATTCTCACACTAAGGCAAAACATATATCAAAAACTTCTATTTCCCTCAAACAGTAGACAAAACTGACCGTATATGAATGGATTGTAATGAGAGGCCGGGGAGTATTGTTGGTGAGCCTTCTCTCGGTGCACCTCCTCCTGACTCCTGGCTGGGGGCGGCTGAGGGGACATGCTCGCCAGGGCCTGGTGGTAAACACAAGGGAGAGGATACATTTATACAAGATCGACAGGGAATAGAGAAAAACACTGCATTCTCACATTCATTTAGAAAAATAAATAAATTATCATTAGGGAACTGGCACTAGCAATGCTAATGATCTAAAGATAATAACTGTAGTTTGTTAAAGAGTTACTTGACCATCAAAATTAAATTAAAATAGGGTATTACTGCTCTAAAACATTACATTCTGTATTGCATGAAACTAATATAAATTTGTTTAATTGTATGTAAAGTTTTGATTAAAAAATCAAATTGAGCTGGGCAGTATATAAATCTGTATTAAGTATACCTGTACAGTATTTAAATTTGAAAATGTATATTTTCAGTATCATACTGTACTGGACTAATTTTGGTTATCTAAATCAACATGCTGTCTTATAGTTGATATCATACAACCCAAATAAGCATATAATTCCTGATTTTGAAGTTTACCATACCCATAAGTGTATGGTATTGGCAGTTCATCAACGTCAAACATTTAATGTTATAACAAAACATGAATAGCAAATAGATGAGAAATTACTATTATGACAGATCTGAGTCAGGAGTTTATAAGTTATTTATACAGTAATGTGTAATTTTTTATTAATCTTGGAGTTTTCAAGGTAAGCACTAAGCAAAATAAATTAGGAGTTGAATGACCTTTAAGGTTTATGTTTAAAGAAGTCAATGCAAATTTATTTGCTGGAAAATAAAATAACTTCGGAATTCCATTTCTTAAAGAGTATCAGGAGAAAGCTGGCATACAAACCAGACAAATGTAGAGCGCAACTTCTGGCAGCCCATAAATGTATTGTGTGTTATTGATGGCCAGTTCATGCATTCATGCAATTTCATTAGCAAGAATGAAAACAATTATACCAAACTGTCCCCTAAAATAAAAACGTGAAGGAGACTATGCCAGCATAAATCAAATATCATTACACAGCCAAGAGTTGACTGCTCACCCGATCATGCTGTTAACCTCCTGACCACTGAGTTAACATTGTTGTTGAACAAATATTCTTAACGTAATGTACTGAAAGATTAATCCTTATGTAACAAAATAATGAAAACTGTACTCTGTCCATGACAAAATTAAAATCATTAAACTGCACGAGGTTTTTCAAATGGGAAAGTTAAGTTTCAATACAGATACCTTGATTTTTGTAGATTTAAGATAAATGGCAGTCATATCTAGCCTATCTCATTACAGCATTTCTAATTTCTAATAATTTTATAATTATTAATGTAAGGAAAACAAACTACCCTAGTATCCTCATCACTAAGATGATGTCATGTCTTTTGTTGGATTTCCTTTGCAAAAAAAAAACAAATTATTTAAAAATCGTCCTAATGATTTCTTGTGAAAAAAACAAAAAATGGTCACCAAATCTACGAAATTCTGGAAACAGACTACAGTGCATGTGGCATCAACTTTCAATACTGAATTTGTTATTAATAAACCAACTCATCTGTCCACTAGAGAAAAATGCAACCATTTTATTTATTGCAGAATTTACAACATATATAACTGTGCAAGTCTCACAGAATTTTGATATTATTGTGCTTTAATGAATAGGTCTATTAACATCATTCAGTGCTCCTACCAACATATAACAGCAATTGTCAAAGAAATAAAACATAAGTTCTGAAGATCAATTAATGTTAATTTCTTCGGCAATTACCATATTAAAAAAATATTTCCATTTCCAGTATGTGGTTAGGTACAAAATCTCTGACAAAAAAGGTGACAGACATAAGAAAGACCATTGCCTTGAGAAAACTGCCAAAGTTGCTACAGCCAGTTACAGTACTTTGATAGGAATTAGTCATTCTACCTTATTTGATTAGCTATTAACAGAAAATTTACAGAATGTTAATTTAATCTCAAAGTAAAAGATGAACAAAATGTAAATTACAACCAAACTATGAATAAGCAATATTTCTCAGGCAAGACCCTCCTCTTAAAGGCAGCCAAACAGGCACAGCTCACTAAAATATTATCAAACTTGTGAACTACACGTCAACCACGCACGATGACAAACCTCATCCATAGATTTTATAGCCTGTAGGTGGAGCCGCATGGAAACATTGGGAAGGAACAGGAAAAAGAAAATAACAGTGAATACAGTAAATAAGATGGTTCAAGGAGTGATGGGGAGATACAGTGGGGGAGGATAAAGATCAAACATAAGAACTACTCCTAATTAATCTCGTTAATAATGATGCAAATTGACACCTACAATATTCTATAGTAGAATAAACAACTTATTGAATTTATTCAACAATTGCTGATAATTCCCTTCTTCCTTCTTCACTTAGATTCATATTCTGTGTTAATTGTCTGAATTGAAAAATCCAATTTAGTGATAATTACAAATGTTAAAGAAACTGTACTCATAAAACTGACTCGGATAATGTTAAAAAATAAAATAGTTTGCTTAATTGACATTAAATCTGAAATAATCTCATAGTGTACCATAATATAAAAACATGAGCTTTATAAAATACTGGGGAAAAACACGCAAAATGTAATATATCCTTAGACACAAAGGAACACGTGCTAATTACAGTACCATAAAACAGCCTCAAATGTACACATGCATTATGTACATCAATTTACATCAAAGATGGCCAGCTCATTCTTAGCCAAAGAGAACATCACATATCAAAAAGTTCAAATAATTTTGAGCTGAATACAATACAGTAATTTAAAACAGAATATTCCTTTCAAACGCACTGGAGCCTTTATCAACATGACATGCAAACCTTCAACCATAGCTAGAGCACCTAGACTAAATAAAGCCATAAATGTCAGACAAAGATCATCCCATTCATATTCTTACGCTAAGGAGAGAATCTTCTTAAAAACAAGAGTTAGAGCATGCGCACTGGTACCACACTGTGAATGTGGAGGAGAGCACAGACAACACCTCTACTATGGAGGAGCAATACTCATGTACAACTCTGCTGTCTTAGTTATGATAGGAATACACTTACATGTTAAAGGAGTAATAAAGATTGGATTGGTAGAAGTACACCTCTACTGGTGTAGCAATGATGAGGTGTAGTAAGTAATGTGTGTGTATCTGTCTATATCTAAGGTATTTCCCGCAGTCAATACAGATGACAGTGGCTCTATCCTTTTTATAAACTAAATTTCATTGCACAACTTCCTGTAGTTTAAATGTACCCAGAGGTAACATCCTGTATAAGGAGCAATTGCATTTGGATTCTGTTACATTTTTTGCATAAAATAAAAGCATATGTAAAGTCAGAGAAAGACTCCAACAGGTGAAGGAGTTGCTAATAAACTTTGATGAATTTTGTTCCATATTTTTCCTTAATAATTACTAAAGTAAAAATCAGCTGGCCCAAGAGGAATTCAGTGCAATGAATACATTACAATGAAAATGATAATTGTTATAACGTTAACAATAATTTTAACATAAAACGGTAGTGAAGTAAACGTGTAATAATGAAGTGTGTATATGCTGGTGGCAGAACAGCATTATACTTTTAAAAATATGATTGTAATATAAGGGAAACACAAGGGAAATAGGTAGACTATATTGCACATGTAATAGTCGTTACACTAAGAACTGAGTACACCTGTACTGATGGAGGTACACAATACAGGACATGTAAGAGTGAGGATACACTGAGAAATAAATACACCTGTACTGATGGAGGTACACAAAGTAGTGGAAGTAAACCTACTTTAGTGTGATAGAGAGGAACAATAATACACTAAAGTAAACCTACTTTAGTGTGATAGAGAGGAACAATAATACACTAAAGTAAACCTACTTTAGTGATAGAGAGGAATGATAACACACTTCTACTAGTGAAGACATGAGAGATTGAGAAATAAAAATTACACTTGTATTGTGTCAGAGGGGCTACACAGAGGAGTAATGAGGCAACCTCTACCAATCAGGATACATAAGAAAGACAATACACCTGCACTAGTGAGAATACATAACGGAAACAAAACGGCTTACAGAAAAAGATTTAAACAAATAAAATATCACTTGAGGATTTTAATTTCAAACAGATGTTATGAAAAATAATCCACAGGAGCATAAAGATTTTTTCAAAAGCTATTAGGAAATTTAGGAAGGTTAAAAACAGATGACATGTTGCTTGCACAGACAAAAAGAAAGAAGGGAGACACAAGATACAGAAGTAATCCTACCCCGGCTTCAACAGTTAGCTGATGAAATTTTGAGTACCAGTTAGTTTGGTAGAGGCCATGGATCTGACAACGCATGGGCGGGTAGCACAGGAGAAAGAAGTACACATCCATCACATGAAATTTGCACTAATTTACAAAACTGCCACTGCTCATCAAACACTCATTTATAATGTAATTGCAATCATAAAGTACAGTACTGTATAGTACTTTATGCAATAAAATATCTTTCTTAGCTACAACACTCAGTTGCTCCCCCCCTAGATGAAGCCATGTTGTTCTCATGGGCAGGACTTCACACTGTGAGGGCACGTCAACATTCCACATTGGGGCAGCAGGGATCTTGTCAAACATCCCCGTCATGTCATATTGGTGCAAGGAGGCACTGAAGAATACTCAATGAAGCCCAGAAAGATCTCCAGAAGATCTTTTATTCATATAAACTCAATGATCTTCCAAACAATATTTGGTATCACAGGGTCTGTCAAGCTGTTGTTGGTTGTATCCTGGAAAAGGTCATCAGTAGTTGGCCTTGGGAGACCTCAGTAAGCCTAACAAGTTGTTGTTACAGATTTAGCTACTCAGAACGAAGTGTCCATGTAGCATGGGCTATGGTGAGCCCGTAAGCTAACAAGTATCTTGTCCCTGCCTATGGAAAATCATAAAGTGACCCATATTGCTTGGCTGCATCTGGTCGAGTGCACTGAGCTGCTTTCTCTGCTATGCGAGCTCCCCTGGCCTTTCTCAGAATTACTTTGGAGGTTTCTCGGTGTTCAGTCCCCTAGAATTCCCTGCCTTTGTCTCTAAAGATTTTTTTATGTATGCATTCTGAATGGATTTGAGCATTGTTTCCAGAAATCATCACATGAGGCAGAGGTATTGATCTCTGGTGGTGTTACATTCTGACATCAGTGTCTGGGACACAGGCAATATGAATTGCAATGAAACACACAACTCTCTCTAGGTGCTAGGCTCCTCATCTGTACTCCAGTAGTGCTTCAGTGATTCATTAATTGGGGAGGAGTCTCCTGGTCCATTCCTGATGGAACTGAAATCTAGCAATATTGTGTCTTCTGGCTTTATTTTTCAAAGTGATTCACATTTGATGGGTGTAAATATGTTGCTGGATGGAATGTGATGAAATTGGGATGGAGTGGGAGTGAGACAAGGTCATCTTCCTGTGGATACAAGACACTTCTTTAAGTATTCCCAGGTAGTTATTTTAACATCTGCATGAAACCATAAGTTCTGTGTACACTATTTAGTTATATTTCAGTCTAGATATTGTACTTATCTTTTCAAAGATGGAGATTTTTGTGAGCTATGTGATATTACTCACTTTCCTATGGCTGATTCAGCCCTGCTCACCTGTTTCCCTAATCCATCTCCCTTCCCTGTTTTACTCCTCACACACTAGATTGGCAACAGGTAACACTTCCAGGCTTTCTACTGCTCTTCACATCTGGAGTTTCTGGAGTGACTTTCCCACCATATTAATTGGAGAGCGACTAGGAAGTAATAAGAGCATTACTTGGCAGTTCCTATGATACCAAGTAGCACTTGTGAGGCATCATGAATTTATATGACAACGCCTTCTATAGGTCGTTACAGACTGGACTGAATATTCTCCAGCATGCCTATGTGCATAGTCATGTCCGTGGGAACAGGAGGGCCTCAACCAAGTGCCCTGCCCAGAAAAGAACTTTTCATATACACTCAAGCCTGATTTTTACACCTATTAGCTGACTGAATTATTTGAAGCCATTAAATATTCAGTATTATAAACTATTCAATATATCTCTCAGTAAATCATGCCATTATATACTATTTACAAGTACGTAATTTTTTTTAATTAATAAATTATACTACAGTAGTTAAGGGTAATAAAATTATATTTGTAGTTGAGATCTACAAAACCTCCTTAATGCAGTGCAACACAATACTCAGCACATGCCTATAATGCAACACATGTCATACAACAACATACAAAACATATACAAACAAATAGATCATTCTTTTATAACAAGAAAATAAAATAAAAAGTGCTATATTTTTCATAGAATCTATGAAACACATGTTAACCCTCAACAGATGGCTATCATCACTAGTGTCTGCGAATGGATACCAGCAGTGAATGGGTACCTGGTTGTTAAACGATTTGGCGGGTCATATTCCAGGGAAAATTAGGATTAAGAACCTACCCGAAATGCTATGTGTGCTAGTGGCTTTACAAGAATGTAAGAATTCTTGAATTTATAAATACTGTACAAAAATATACTAAAAAAATAACATGGTATCTGTGCATGGGGTTCCACCATAGCAAACTATCTCAAGGCCATCATCACCCAGCAAACATCAGCTACCAGAACTATAACAAATTCTATCTTCAGGTAAAACACAGCCCCTCTGTTTACATCCCTGAACATACTAAACATATACTCACTCCACACATTCTCTTGTGCTACTTACACTTTACACTTTCAAAACCCTATTCCTAAATTCTAATCCGGCTTTAAAATTCTTCCCTGATAGGTGTAATAGAACCGATGAGCATCATACCAAAAATAAATATCTCTTTGATATTCCCAGAGTCAGACTAAATACTGTATGTGCAAACATGCAAGCAAATAAATGAACCCAATACTAGTATATGTAATTCATTCCACATTGAATTTAAAAATTGTTCAGTCTATACTTTATTAAAAAGTAGAATTATAAAGTACCTAATTTCATCTTCAAGGTCTCCCACCTTGGTTATCTTCTTGAGATGATATCAGGGCTTTAGTGTCCCCACTATCAACTCGCACATTACCTTGTGCTACCCATTCACCCAGTATATTACAATGTAGAAATACAGCTTCATCATTATAAATTGAATTTATCTCTCTATACTGACATTCGTTATCATGTGTGATTTCAAAATATGTTACAACGTACCTATTGTTATGCTTATTTGTTAGCTTAAGGACCTGCTCAAAATGGTATGCATTTTAGTGGCTTTGCAAGAATGTACTACTCACCCACCACCATATGTACATTAACAACCCACTCTGGTATATGAAAAATAAATGAATTCATTAAATAATTTCAGGTACTGTTCTGTATTAGGTATATGATAGTTACATTTTATAATTTTATGCTGATAATCCTGTCTTTCTCAATAATGCCTTTCTTAATAATAATAATAATAATAATAATAATAATAATAATAAATAATAAATAATAATAATAATAATAATAATAATAATAAGGAAATCCACTAGGGCAGTGAGGTGTGCAGAACCTACGACCAATGCAATGCCAAGCCGTATACTGTACTACTAGACCACCGCTGAACTGCGCAAATCTGCGGTGGTCTAGTGGTAGCAAGGCAGGCAATGCAGCTTGGCAGTGCCTTGGTCGTAGGTTTGCGCCCACCTCACTGCCCTAGTGGATTTTCCCATTGATATACATCACGTTAATGTGATTTGTGTGTGTTAATAATACTAATAAAAATACCTTTCAAATTAAGGTCCTAAACTGTTAGGGTGATATCTAAATATTAGGTAGGCATTCTAAATAAGTTTTAATGGTTGTCTAAATAAGTTATGATGGAATTCTAAATAAGTCTGGGTGGTTTCAAAATAAGTTAGAATAGTATTCTAAATAAGTGAATGGAATTCAAAATAAGTATTCTAAATGTTGGAGCAGTATTCTAAACAAATGAGCGATATTCTAAATAAATAGATGGTTTCTAAACAAATACTGTCTCTGTATTTACTACAGAAGAACATGATATTTTTGCCTGCATCATAACTAATTTATGTAGGTGAAGAAGAGAACAATTTCTCTAGTTGTTATGAGGGAGGAAATTCGTAAACAAATTAAAAAATTAAAGCCCAATAAGTTCCCCAGGACCAACTGAAGTATTTGCCAGAGTCCTTAAATAATGTAAAAATGAGCTTAGTGAACCCATGTCTTGCATATTTCGTAACTCATTAAAATCGAGCAGAGTACAGTACTGAAATGATGGAGGGTTGCGAATGTGGTGCCGATTTTTAAGAAGGGGGATAGATCACCTGTCAAACTATTGACCAATTAGCTTAACATACATTGAATGGAAAATTGCTTGAATCAAAGATTGCCAAAGCAATTCATTCACAACTTGAAAAACATAAAAGAAGATAAATAAAAGTATCGCAGCTTGGTTTTAATAGTGCCACTCATGTTAATTTAAACATATTTCATTCTTTTCCGATATATTTCAAAGGTTGATGGTGAAAAAACTGCAACATTGTATACACAGAGAGTAATCACACTAATGGGATGTATCAATGAGAAAATCCATAGGAGCTGAGATGAGGATTCGAACCTATGCGGTGGGTAGTCCCATGTACACGCCCCAGACAATCAGACCACAATATGGACAAAACGATTGCAACCTGGAGTTCTAACGAACACACGAGGGTTTCCTGAGGCTTCCACTGAAGCCGGACCAGGATTTTCACACAATCCTCCCATGCACTCTGGCTGTCATCTAGGAATGTTCTACCTCTGATGCTCCTCTTTCAATACACAGAGAGTAATCACACTAATGTGATGTATTAATGAGAAAATCCATAGGAACCGTTTATCGCAACATTATATACCTTGATTTCAGCAATGCTTCGTGAAGGACTCATTAGAAAAGAAGAGGAACATGGTATTGGGGAATTATCTTATGATAGATTAGGGAGTGGTTACATCAAAGGAAACAGCATTAACATAAATGGAGTTAAGTAGGAGTGGGAAACAGCTGTAAGTGGAGTGGCGCACAACTCTGCCCTGGAACCTCTATTGTTTAACATAATTATAAATGATTTACACACACACAGGATTCAAAAGCAACATTTGCAGATTTGCAAACAATGCAAAGAAAGAATAGGAAATAATTCAGAACTCAAAATCACTACAAGATGATTTATATAGCATTTTAAAATGATTGATTGATAAAAGATTGACAATTATAGTTTAATGTTGACAACTGTAGGGTTCTGAGTCTAGATAAAAATAATAGTTGCCAGATATGAGCCGAACAATTTTGAAATTGCTAAATCAGAATGCAGGAAAAATATCTGGGAATCATGATCCAAATTGAAATTGTTGATGCCTATCTAGAAGTGTTAACAAACATAATTTATATTCCCTAAGAAAACGAAGAGTAAGGGGTGATATGATTTACGTATACAAATGGATGATGGGTATAACAAAGGGAATATTAATAGGGCACTAAATATATAAACACAAAATGAAGCACTAAACAATGGATTCATATTGGATAAGTTTTAGATTATAGAAAGGCCTTGGGTAAATACTGGATTGGATATAAGGATGGTTGATTTATAGAACAAATTACTGAGTAACAAAATAGATGTGGGATAACTGGATTGTTTTAAGCAAAGGTTAGATATACAGTATAAGAAAATTAACACTTTCACTGCCCGATGCCACATATTCCGTCACGGAACCAATATACAGAGTATGCCCAGTGACGCAAATAGGCGTCAATAATTTAAAAATTTGTAGAAATTCCATTTATTGTACGAATACTATGGGACTTATTTTAAAAGGTGCGCCAACTTCTGCCCAGTCTCTGTATACCCCATGTGGCATCCTGACCCCCACCATGTGGGCGCCTACTCACGCTGGAGGCTCACTGTTCCCGTGACCTCGCTCGTGATAGTCAAGGCATCCCCTCGAGTCAAAAAGTTTTCCCATCCTGGTTATTTTATCTCAAGTATTTGTTGTTACCGGCTTTATAAACACCACAAATTGACTTCCAGATGGATACTGATCAAGAACAGAGCCAATCCATGACAAAAGCATTGAAAGAAACATGTATGAGGGGAAAAGTTATTGAGTTTCATTGAAAGTATAGAAAAGTATAGAAAGTATACAAATTGAACGATGTAGCACAAAAATTGAAGTCAGAAAGCTGAAAAGAGTATTGTATAAACATTTTTGTGTGGTGGTTAGCTCTTGGCCTACCTTGCAGTGCATGGCAGATCTAAAGTGAGACTTATATGTTCTTATATGTACATATTCCTTTAGAGTATTCTATCACAAACAATTTGATACCAAATTTAACGACGTAGTACAAAAATTGAGGTCACGGAGCTAAAAAGCGTATATACATTTGTGGGAGGTGGTGAGTTAGTGCGCACCACTCGGCCTACCTTGAGGTCCGCGGCGAGTCTCCCGCCTGAGCAACGAAAGTGTTAATTTAATTAGGTGCAAATAGGAGTTGCCTCATATGAACTAACAGCCTTCTGCAGTTTCCTTTATACTTGTTGTTATATTGACCATAGAGTCCCCCATGTGTTACTGATAGTGTGTGTGCAGAAAATTAACAGCACAGCTGTTAATTCCAGTGTTAGTGAAGCCACTAGTGTCGGAATCCCTCAGGTAAATTCAGGTAACTATAGGGTTCCCATGTGTTACTAGTAGCATATGCAGGGCACTGACAACACAAAAGAGGTGATATTGGTAGTGTTTGTGTATGTGTATGTGTATGTGAGTGGGCCTGTCCACAACTATGTACTTTTCCCATTAGTGCTTTTGTTATTAACTCAATCTATTAACTAGTTACAATCCTCGTTCCCCCTCTTATTTATATTTTACTCAGTCTATAACAACCTTAAAAATACAAATCCTTCAAACATTAAAAAATAAACAATTATTTTACATTTAACATCAATTGTAAACTAACAAAATATAATGTACCATGCAGCAACCTAATACTGTACTGTAGTCACAAATGATATCTCATCAACAGAATATATTTGTCTGATACAAGTACTGTACTGAATATATATAAAGTGGAGTTTCTCACCTGCTTTAGATGGTTCTTCAGAATGGTACATTCTGGTTCTGGGAGTGGAGGAATATCATCACAGGCTGGAGGTGATGTGATCTTGTTGGCGTCCAGGTCTACCAACCACACATCGTCCGGAAGCCTGATGGGGGCACGCAGAGGGAGGCTCAAGGCCAGGAAAGATGACAACTATACTGAGTGCTAAACAAAATTGCTACTATACTGGGTGCTTCAAAAATCTAATATCCAGTCATTCTGATTGGTAAAGATCATCACAACATACTAAAATACTTAACATTAAGTGATCACTATTACTGATATGCATAAATGTTACTTGTTGGTCAAACCACACACTAGAAAGTGAAGGGACGACGATGTTCCGATCCGTCCTGGACCATTCTCAAGTCGATTATGGACCATTCACAATCGACTTGAGAATGGTCCAGAACGGACCGAAAAGTCGTCGTCCCTTCACTTTCTAGTGTGTTGTTTGGTCAACATATTTCAGCCACGTTATTGTGACTCCTCGTCTGTAAATGTTATTTAGTTCAGTGCTAGACAAATAAAGTATATGTAAACTGCAATATAAATCAATTAGTGGATTAAACAGAATTATGGTGAATACAATGAGTTTAAGCAAGTGAAGGTTGCAGCTTCACTAAATAATACACAATAATAAGAGCTAAAGTTTCAATAAGCCGTGTTACTTCACAATAACTTTCTTATGGAGCTGGATTAGCTCTACTGGTTTACAAATATTTATGGTAACAAACCTTTACCATCACTATTTCCAGATACTGTACCTATATTGATCCAATATCCACCAAGCATTTAATTACTTTTCTTTATTAGATTTAAATATTTCAAGACTTGCATGTTAATCACCAAAGAATAAATGAGCTTCAAATGAAACATGTGTGTTATTTGGTATCCCCACTTATTAATACACAATGTAAGAGGGTAAATAACACTCTACAGTAACTTCATTTATTCAATTATTTATATCTAAACAAACAAAAGCAAACAAACACACATTCACACACATACACACACACACACGTATGGTGCCCATATCTTAAGAAGCATATCAACAAACTGGAAAAGGTTCAAAGACATGCCACTAAGTGGCTCCCAGAACTGAAGGACAAGAGCTACAAGGAGAGGTTAGAGGCATTAAATATGCAAAAACTCGAAGATAGAAGATAAAAGAGGAGATATGATCACTACATACAAAATAATGACAGAATTCGATAAAACTGATAGGGAAGAATTCCTGAGACCTGGAATTGCAAGAACAAGAGGTCACAGATTTAAACTAACGAAACAAAGCTGCCGGAGAAATATAAGAAAATTCACGTTTGTAGACAGAGTGGTAGATGGTTGGAACAAGTTAGGTGAGAGAGTGGTGGAGGCCAAAACCATCAGCAATTTCAAAGTATTATATGACAGAGTGCTGTGAAGACGGGACACCACGAGCGTAGTACTCCATCCTTAGGTAATTACACACACACTGTATGGTAATGTTCAGAGGTATGCCACCAGACTAGACCCCAAGCTGAGAGGAATGAACTATGAGGAAAGATTACTGGAACTGAACTTCACGACACGAAGACACAAGAGTTAGAGAAGAAATGATCACTACCTACAAAATTCTCAGAGAAATTAACAGGGTAGATAAAGATAAACTGTTTAACACGGGTGGTACGCAAACAAGGAGACACAGGTGGAAACTGAGTACCCAAATGAGCCACAGGGACGTTAGAAAGAACTTTTTCAATTTCAGAGTATTTAACAGATGGAATGTATTAGGCAATGTATTAGCAATGGAATGTATTATGTGGTGGATGCAGACTCCATATACAGTTTCAAATATAGATATGATAGAGCCCAGTAGGCTCAGGAATCTGTATACCAATTGATTAACAGTTGAGAGGTGGGACCTAAGAGCCAGATCTCAACCCCCACAAGCACAACTAGGTGAGTACAACTATGCGAGTACTGTGCTGGTGGGAAGACGGGACACCACAAGAGTAGTTCTCGCCCTGTAACTACACTTAGGTAATTACACACACATACACACAGTGTATGTTGATTGCCAGTAGAGAGGCGGGACAAAAGAGCCAAAGCTCAATTCCCGCAAGCAGAACTAGGTGAGTACAGTATACTACTGAAGTCAAAGAATTTACTCTGTAATTCATTGAAAAGTGGTAATTACAGTAGAAATCACTTACCACTTGAATCCTAAGTACAGTATAAGCTGAAAATTAAACTTAATAATTTAATAGTAGTGAAACGTAATACAGTTTTGGGTATACAGTACTGTACTGTAGTATAATTTAACTCCTGGTACTCATCACACAATGCACTCAGGACACTGATGTATAGGACACTGATGTACAAGCAAGAATCAAGTAATGAGCAGAAAAGGTTGACGCAGAACATCACTTTTGATATGACAAGACAGAACAGATCAACATAAGACAAGACAAGATATGACAAGACAAGATATGACAAGACAAGATATGACAAGACAAGAACAGATCAACATAAATGACAATGAGAAAATGTATAAAAAAAAGGTGCATGATAATGCAGTACAAAAAGCAATAGTTACACAAAAGACAGAATATTAAGATTACTACATAAAGGAAAATCTGATGTTAATACAAATAATACAATAGTATTGACCAACTTACTCATTTAATAACTCAAATTTCATTACAGTATTTTTGTTGTAGCTTCCCATGTTCATTGTCAGGAAACCTGTTACTGTAAGCTCATTGAGCAACCTGTCCTCTTTAAAGTAACGTTGCTTTTGGCCGTTTGCCTGTATGGCCAAAAGTGGACGTAATTTAAAAATGAAAAAAAATGAAAATAAATTTTGGATTTTTTTTCAACAATAGTAAGTTAAGGGTCCTCTGGTAGGTTAAGTTGGCAGGAAATTCTCATAAAGTTTCAAATTTTTATGAAAAATGTTAATTGAAAGTTTCCTCTCCTAACCTTTCCAAGTAGGCCGGACGACTCGAACAGAAAACGGGACAGTACGTCACTTTTGTGAGTCGATTTCATTTCAAATTACGTCCACTTTTGGCCATAGCGCGCATACGAGCCAAAAGCAACGTTATTTTTAAGAGGACGGGTTGCATTGAGATCTCTCTAGGCCACTAGGTGGCCACACTGTTCTTTTCCAGGAGTTGCCCACCTCCCAGTTACCTATTTACTACTAGGTGAACAGGGGCATCTGGGATAAGCAAGCATGACCAAATGATTTGTCAGGTGCAGGAATTAAATCCCAAAACTTTTAGATGTGAGCAAACTGCATTACAGGACACCTACACATGTTTTTTCCTTCATGTTATTTAAGAATGTACAGCATATATATCAACAATGTGTGTGCCAGCATGTGGACCATGTAGTCAGATAATATTGCACTAAGTACTGAATTGTCTACATTTTTTTGGAATATGGTGAGAAAATATTTCAGAAAGTCATTTGTGAATGCATGTGATGCCTAACCAATGTAAAATTAAAAGACGCAAAAAACTGCTAATTAATCCATATTATTATTATACAGGTTCTTAAATAATGTATAGTACTGTATCTTTGTTTTATGGCTCAGCTCTGTAATGACCATAAAAATGAAGGACCAAATATGTGCTAAGCTTTGACATTCAATCTACAAAAAGTAACATTTAAATAACATACAATTTAACATTTAAGAATCAACCAAGTAAAAGCAGTAGGATACTAGGAAAAGAAGGTCATAATGATAAAAGTACAGTTAATTGTATTTTCTCAGATACTGCAGCACTATGTGAATAAGTAGCCCAAGTTTCTTGGGTAAATATAATCTTATACTCTAGTTTCCATAATGAGAACAAGAGTGAATCACTATACAGTGGAACCTCGGCTTACGAATGACTATTTACAAATTTTTCGGCTTACAAGCTCACTTTCTTCGTAAAATTGGATTTGGTTTACGAGCTTTACCTCGAGTTATGAGTTAATCGATACACGTATGGGTCGACCGAGCGTGTGGTTCCTGGTGGAACGGTTGACCGGGCCTCGGTTTAACAGTGCCTTCCACATAGTGACGATCATGCTTGAATTCTTTTTTAAATAATTTAATTGTTTTTCACCTTTTTTGTTTCTAAACATAAAAGTAATTATTATATATCACGCCATGGGTCGCAAGAAAGTCAATGGTAAAGTTCAACCTAAGAAAATAGTTGTGAGGAGAGGCAGTAGAAGATGTCCCTTCTTCATTAAGAAAATATGTGAAGTACGGGAAGAACTGCAAAGTTTTGCTGAAAAGACTCGCCCAGATAAAGCTGTAGCAGGCCGTTGCAATGACCTTTTTAATGACAATACGATGTCTCAATACAGACAAGGAAAACCAAGTCTCGATGGTTCTTAGTGAGAAAAACAAGCAGTGAGCCACAACCAGGTCCTAGTGGTATGCAGGCAAAATGTAGGAGAGAGTACCCCAGAGAAGTCCTCACTGCCTGATGTTATAATGGAAGGGAACTCCCCTTCCAAACAGTAACACCTCTCTTCCTTTCAACCCCTCCCCCTCCTCACGGTCTTCCATACATCAACAAGAGTCATCAATAAAGGTAAGCTGTAACTTATACATACTATAGTACAAAATATTTGTGTTTATTATTAATGAAATGTATTTTGAAGTTAATATTTTTGGGAGTGTGGAATGGATTAAATCAATTTACATTATTTCTTATGGAAAAATTTGTTTTCGTGTTACGAATTTTTGGGTTACGAGCTGTCTCTGGGAATGGATAAAATTCATAAACGAAGGTACCACTGTTCTGTACTGAGAAGATGGGATTCTTTACATCACTTCTGAATATATTGTGATGTTGAGCAATTTTGTATTGCATTAAAAATGTACAGTATGGGGGATTAAAAATGTACACCCGCTGGTGACCACTAGTTGAAAGTGACTGAAGTTACATACTGTTTACTATGAAACACTGGTCGCTTTCAACCAACGGTGCCCACTGAGCAGTAGTAGTAAGATTGGCAAGTAAGTAAATTCAGAATAAATTAGTATATACTGCAGGTAAAGTGGTGAGCAGTGTTGGACAAAGTACACTGTATCTGACTTTTACACTATGTAAATTGGTTTGGATACATTTTTCAATATATATTCTATTTGAATTCAAGAACTCTTGGAAACTATTGTCAAATCAGATGACAAAGAAAACAAAATTACTGAGAGAAATGACTGCCACATAGATGATGCGTCTATTGATGTGAAATGATCACATTTCATTTCACATCAATGAAATTATGTGAAGGGAAGGGAATTACATCAAAGGTGGTAGGGAATATACATCAAAGGTCTCTTTAGGTGGAAGAGAATATACATCAAAGAAAACTTGCCCCAGGTAGAATCTAAACGACCTTGACTGTCCAAGACAATGATACAGTACGTGAAAAGTTCTAATAAAAGCAGTAAGCTCAAGGTACTGAAAAGGTAAACATATCAAAATGAAAAGTCACTAAACATTTAGCTGTAGAATTACAGTATTAAAAAGTTTGCTTTCATAGACGAGAAATACAGAGTATGCAAAGTACCCAAGCACACAGTGCAATACAACCATAACAACACAACTATACCTATGTACATATTGTGAAGCAAATATAAAACAAAATTATAAAAAAAGCCAAAAAAGTGAAATAAATAATAGATCTGACAAACAGAAATACTTTGTGGAAAGAAGCACAAATACGTAAGAAATATACACAGTAGCAATATATATGCACTAATACTGTTACATTTTGTCTTTGATTTCAGTATTTTTTTCCAGAAAACTAATTATACTCACCCAAAATGCTTCTTGTAAAGAAGAAATGAAGCTGGAATTCCAATAATAAATGGAGTTGGGGCCAGCAGGAGCTGTTCAGAGCAACTCATACAGGTAGGTAGCAGAGGAATGATCGGGAACATGTACTCAAGAGGGTAGATCATTCTCACGAAGGCCAGCACGGACATTGAAAGAGCATTGTTGTCCCGAGACTGTAACAACACCTACAAAGAAGATTATACTTTGCTGTATACCACAATACTTTCCAAACACTTTTTTTTAATCTAATAAAAATAATTTCCATGGCAAATGTACTATCCTGCACACTGATTAATCATACACTTACTACCTTAATTTGATTTCAAGTTAATTTTTTGTAACCAGTACAGTACTAGGTTCATTATTAAACTTAAAATACACTTTTAATAAGAAATATACAGGAATCTGAAAATATTTAGCATCAGAACATGCAAATTCCATCATACTATCCTTGGATACATACCTTCTGCTCAAGAAAGATGATTGTGAGTACTTTGAGACAAGACTCGACGCCAAGGAGCTCGAGTGGCAAATGAAGAGGGAAGTCAATAAGAGAGAAGCGTGTATGGTCTGGTAATGCAAATGTCAGTGGAGCATGCAGTTCTCTCGGCAACAACTCCAACTGCAAGAGAATTTAAACTACTCTGAAGAACAAGCATTTATGTATAAAAGTAGGCCTATGTATCCTTCATAACTAAAAAAAAAATTTGGAATTATCTTCATCTTAATCTGGAGGTATGTGTGTGTGTACAAGTATGAGTAAATATGTACTTATAAAGTACATAGGCATTATGATAATGATGAAAATCATGAGTGTTAATGATGATACAGTATATATGTACTATAGTTTCTGAAAATATTTGTTACCGATTTTCGATATCTGACAAGCCATACATACCTCGACTCTCGTTTTGCCAGGGACACACACAGGAGCAGAGAGAAGGCGCAAGATCCACGTCTCAATCTCACGGACGTCGTGCATAACAATACTGGGAACACCATCGTGTGGCCGGCCGGTCATAACACTCCACACTGTGTCTCTGCAGAAATGATCACTAATTAAGGTCAAGTTGAGCCTTAAAACAGACTTATATACTGTATATAAGTGGCTTTGGAACAAAATAAATTTGATAAATATTAACACTATTGCCATTAATTAATTTTTACAGTAAGTTGCAAACACCCAATACAGTACTGTCATGCTTGTCATACGATATACAACCTCAAACACCTACATTAGTTATTTGATTGTTGCCACCTGTGGTGGCTAATTTATTGTACACCCATCACTCGTCGCGTAAGCAGTAATGCAAAAGGATTATTAAAGGGCACAATAGATCATAATCAGACCCGATTTGATGTTGTTTGATTTGGGATTTATAATTTATTTGCCCATTTATATTTAATTATAATGGCAGCTAGTGGAAGAAGTTTGCATGTAGATTAGCTATTTCCATTGTGACAGCTTGAAAAGAAGGAATGTGAAAGAGATTACAAAGTACACATGCCCTTTTAGAGCTTTGTAAATATAATAATGTAACATGTGGGAGAAGATAACAACAGGGAGCCACTAATGGAACCCTCCCAAAAAACCATCATTGAATATAATGAAAAGCCTTTTTCAGATTGTTCTTTCAGTGGGTCCCTGAACACACTCTTCCCCTTTCTGGCATATTGGATTTTTTTGTGTGTGTGTGTTCCATCAGATTAAGATTGGCCTGGCCATGTGGCCTGTAGCTGAGAATGGCCACATGATGGCAGTTGGCTGAAACTAGAAAGAGAAAGGAGTTGACCTTTTGGATTGCCTATTTGCTGCAAATTTTTTTTTACCATATATGTATATATTATTATTTTGGGTTGATCTTTTCCCTTTTTTGTTTAACTTTTTTGTTTAACACTTGGGTTATTATTTTTATTTTACCTTTCTGCTGTCTGTTTTGGTTCACCCAATCTTTCTGGTCGCTTTCAGTTAAAGTGATCTAGAATCCTTTGCTCCTTATGCCTCTGTGAAGGGACCAGGTTTTAGTCTCTGATCTTCGGAAGGCTTTTTAAGACTATTACAAATCAGAAAGTATCTTACTATGATTACTATAATGATGTATAATTATATATGCATCCCACCTCAGTTAGGTGGGATGAGGCACAGATACTGTGCCTCATGGAAGAGTCATTAAGAGTCCAGTAGCATAATGTTTAACAGTCTCCGTGGTGTAGTGGTAAGACACTCGCCTGGCGTTCCGCGAGCGCTATGTCATGGGTTCGTATCCTGGCCGGGGAGGATTTACTGGGCGCAATTCCTTAACTGTAGCCCCTGTTTAACGCAACAGTAAAATGTGTACTTGGATGAAAAAACGATTCTTCGCGGCAGGGGATCGTATTCCAGGAACCATAGGATTAAGGACTTGCCCGAAACGCTACGCGTACTAGTGGCTGTACAAGAATGTAACAACTCTTGTATATATCTCAAAAAAAAAAAAAAAAAAAAAAAATAGTTGTCGTCTGTAGTTCTCTCTCTCCCTCTCTCACTCACTCTCACACACACACACACACACACACACACACACACACACACACACACACACACGTGTATGCCGTGTACACACATGTGTACACGGCAGTGAGGAGAGAGGCAGAAAGAAATTTTGAAAAAGGGATTGCAGACAAATGTAAAACAGAACCAGGTCTATTCTATAAATTCATAAACAACAAATTGCAGGTAAAGGATAATATTCAGAGGTTGAAAATGGGAAATAGATTCACGGAAGATGAAAAGGAAATGTGTGAAACACTAAACGAAAAGTTCCAAAGTGTGTTTGTACAAAATGAAATCTATAGGGAACCAGATACAATAAGAATTCCAGAGAACAACATAGAGCACATAGAGGTGACTAGAGACGAAGTGGAAAAAATGCTCAAGGAGCTCGGTAAGAACAAAGCAGCTGGCCCAGATGGCGTTTCACCATGGGTTCTGAGAGAATGTGCATCTGAGCTCAGCATTCCACTTCACCTGATCTTTCAGGCATCCCTGTGTACAGGAATCGTAGCAGACGTGTGGAAACAGGCTAACATAGTTCCAATCTACAAAAGTGGCAGCAGGGAAGACCCCCTCAATTATAGACCTGTATCATTGACAAGTGTAATAGTGAAAGTATTGGAAAAACTAATCAAAACTAAATGGGTAGAACACCTAGAGAGAAATGATATAATATCAGACAGACAGTATGGTTTTCGATCTGGAAGATCCTGTGTATCGAATTTACTCAGTTTCTATGATCCAGCCACAGAGATATTACAGGAAAGAGATGGTTGGGTTGACTGCATCTATCTGGACCTAAAAAAGGTTTTCGACAGAGTTCCACATAAGAGGTTGTTCTGGAAATTGGGAAATATTGGAGGGGTGACAGGTAAGCTTCTATCATGGATGAAAAATTTTCTGACTGATAGAAAAATGAGGGCAGTAATCAGAGGCAATGTATCGGAATGGAGAAATGTCACAAGTGGAGTACCACAGGGTTCAGTTCTTGCACCAGTGATGTTTATTGTGTACATAAATGATCTACCAGTTGGTATACAGAATTATATGAACATGTTTGCTGATGATGCTAAGATAATAGGAAGGATAAGAAATTTAGATGATTGTCATGCCCTTCAAGAAGACCTGGACAAAATAAGTAGATGGAGCACCACTTGGCAAATGGAATTTAATGTTAATAAATGTCATGTTATGGAATGTGGAATAGGAGAACAGACCCCACACAACCTATATATTATGTGAGAAATCTTTAAAGAATTCTGATAAATAAAGAGATCTAGGGGTGGTTCTAGATAGAAAACTATCACCTGAGGACCACATAAAGAATATTGTGCAAGGAGCCTATGCTATGCTTTCTAACTTCAGAATTGCATTTAAATACATGGATGGCGATATACTAAAGAAATTGTTCATGACTTTTGTTAGGCCAAAGCTAGAATATGCAGCTGTTGTGTGGTGCCCATATCTTAAGAAGCACATCAACAAACTGGAAAAAGTGCAAAGACATGCTACTAAGTGGCTCCCAGAACTGAAGGGTAAGAGCTACGAGGAGAGGTTAGAAGCATTAAACATGCCAAAACTAGAAGACAGAAGAAAAAGAGGCGATATGATCACTACATACAAAATAGTAACAGGAATTGATAAAATCGAAAGGGAAGATTTCCTGAGACCTGGCACTTCAAGAACAAGAGGTCATAGATTTAAACTAGCTAAACACAGATGCCGAAGAAATATAAGAAAATTCACCTTCGCAAATAAAGTGGTAGACGGTTGGAACAAGTTAAGTGAGAAGGTGGTGGAGGCCAAGACCGTCAGTAGTTTCAAAGCGTTATATGACAAAGAGTGCTGGGAAGACGGGACACCATGAGCGTAGCTCTCATCCTGTAACTACACTTAGGTAATTACATATATAGAATCCGTGATGCAGGTTTGAACCTATGCGGTGGGTGTTCCCACGCACACGCCCTTGTCAAATAGGCTACACCATGGTATAAGGATTGCAACCTTGAGTTCTACTGAACGCACAAGGATTTCCTGAGGCTTCTCCTGAAGCCAGAACAGGATTTTCACACAATTCCCCCCCCCCCTTCCTCTCTGCACTCTAGAATGAGCACATTCTAGAAGTAAACACCTTTTATATAGACAATATATAAAAATATATATAGAGAGAATTTAACAGACTTGCTAGGGCCTGGTTTGAGTCAAATTTGGTGGAGCTACCAGGTTGTAGCAACAGTGAACCATTGAATGACCCACTAGACTGAAGCATTTCATTATATTCACAGCTGGTTTCTTTTAATTGTTTTTAAGTATAACACTGCCACATATTTTTGTGTAGAGGAACAGAGAGGCTTGTGCATACAAAGTTTAAACTCACATAACAATTCCCAAAACGTTGCTGAAAACAGGATATAACCTCGAGAAAACAGAGAATGAATATAAGGCATTCACCTTATTTACATCAAAATTATATTGAATTATTATATACCAGTTAATTATTGCTCAGTTATCGACTCTGGTGAGATCAACTTTCAAAGCAGGTAATTTAAAGCCTAATACTGCACTAATTATTCAGTTTGATCTAAACACTACTTGAAAAAGCTAAGGTCAATGTAAACATCAGGAAAGATCCCCAAATTGTCTCATGTACTTTCCTTCTTTTGAAACAGCACAATAGTCTGAAATCTGAATTATTATGATACTATAGCATGCAGATACTGTTTATAAACCAAAGAAATTACTATTTTAGATATTTGAATTGTAAAATAATCAGAAAAAAATAAAATGGGTCTTTTTTCACAAATATATTGTCTTCTGCATATACAGTAAAGTTAACTGCATAACAGTGCAGAGCCAAACACAAGTAAAGTTGGAACATCTTTCACTTGAAAATTTTCTGTCATCTTTGTGTATAAGAAAGTTTCACAGTTAAAATACATAAGTTATCAAATACTTCTCACAGTTGGAATAAGCAAATCAAACACTTCTCTCACCTATTGTTTTGACGGGAGGCTCCAACTCTTCTTGGAGAGGCATTTTCATTACAGGCATCAATCATTCTTCGTAACAAAAAGAGACACTCACGGAAGGCGCTAAAGAATGGATGGTGCGACAGAATGCACAATGAAGTAAGAGAGTGATTCCGAACACGCTGTAAAAGAAATGCAAATGAGCTATTTCATAAAATTTAAATTAGTATCTAGACAGATTTTTCACAAACATTCATCTGTAAAACAGTTAACAAAGATAAATCTGAATTTCTAAGTAAATCATGTACAGTAATAAGCAACAGCCTAATTATTGGAATAGCGTTTTCTTAAATATTTTTAAAGAGAGTAAACAAAACCCAGCAAATTAGTAAATTTTATTATTGGTTCCAAAGAAAACCAGGCAGTTGGTGGGGAAAAATTGAAACAATAATCCTTTTTCCCTTTCTTTTCTTGACTACACACACACTGTTGCAGCAGCATGCATCACCACATGGGCTAAATTTGTTTTTTTCTATATTACACTTTTACATCAACAATTTTTTATTTACAAATTTTTATGAATGTGTGCTCTTTTTGTCTTTCCTTGAGATATCCTCTATTCTGTCTTGGGTGCACTTGTTAAGATGATCCTTATTATGTGCAGAAAAATATTAAAGTGGTGAAAAAGAGAGAGCATACACTGTTTCATGATCTACTTTCTCTTACCAGCTTCACCTGCCTTGGCCCACATGCACGTGCGTAACACAAGGCTGACACAACTGCCCCTATAATGGAGATTCACAGAGTGCATCCAGCACACTTGCACAGCAGAATTTTGATATGTCATTCACATACTGTACAGTACTTGATCCTTGATGCTTAAGCAATTGCAAGTACTGTACAGTACTGTATATTGTTTACTTAACTAACGATACTGACTTATTTAATCTCTATCTTTTGCTCATCATTCACTTTCAATAACCAGTTATATCTTATTCACACTCTCAGTTCTTATGATCCCTCTGCCATATTATGATAAATTCTTTTTATTTTTATATATATTTTAGGTGCATTGTACAGTTAAGATCCTCACTTTCCTGTATGCAGCTACATTACCACTATGGTCAGGTCAAGTCAAGGACAGAAGGCTCTTAGGTGGCTTGTCAAGGTTTCTCTAGTAAAGATTAAGGTCATAATTTTATAGGACTTTATCTTCGTGTCGTAACATATTTACTACACCTTCAAGTTGGAACAACTTGGGGGTAGGTATTATGTGGAATTCACAGATTTCTGTTTTATTGCAAGAATATATCATTCTTGATTCAAACTGAACTGAATTATTTTTAACTTGTGCCCAAAATTATTTGCTTACTAGTGGCCTTATTAAACAAACTTGGATGAACAACTTTTTAACCACTATACAGTGTTCTAATGTATATTTTATAAATAAAGTCACTCATACACATCTTAAAAAGCAAATTATTGAAGGTATCCCAACATGTCTTTACTAAAAGCTGCTCATGTTTAACGACTTTGCTTTCATTCTTTTCTGACATATTTGAGGTAGCTAATAGTGCAACGGATGCAACATTGTGTACCTTGAATCTAACAAAGCTTTTGAAACTGTGTCTCATGGAAGTGTCATTAGGGTCCTGTAGCATAGCTGTCTGTAGCTCACAACTGAGGGGCCCAGGTTCAATTCCTGGGCAGGGCAGAAGTGGATGAGCACATTGCCTTTCACCAGATGCCTCTAGTCACCTAGCAGTAAAATACCTAGAGTACCTGAGAATTAGGTAATTGTTGTGGATTGTGTCCTGGGGGAAAGTCAGTAGTTGACCTTGGGGGACCATGATGAGCCTAAGTGCAGGCTTCCTGTTCCTGATAATGGGAACTATTAAAATGGTCATGGTATTGAGGATAGCATTTCGGGCAGGTCCTTAATCCTAATTTTCCCCAGAATACAAGCTGCCAAATAGTTTAACAATCAGGTACCCATTCACTGCTGGGTGAACAGAGGCTACAGTTAAGGATTGGCTCCCAGTCAATCCTTCCTGGCCAGGATAAGACCAGGGTGATTATTTCAAAGGAAACCCAGTTGGTATAACTGGACTGAAAACCAAATGGAGAACTGTTGCAAGAGGAATGCCTCCAGGCTGTGTCCCTATACTGTACTTACATCATATGTACACCATATATGCAGATGATATTAAAATAGGGTGGGAAATATGTTTAGGAGACTCAAAAATGATAGGATGATATAGATAAGCTTAAAAAATGGATGAAAGATTGATGACTGCAGCTGAATTCTGATAAGTGAAGAGCTCTAAGCCTAAGTGATGTAAACAGAGTAACCAGATATAAACATTATAATGCCAAAATTATTCAATCTGATAGCTAAAAAGATTTGAGTCATTATTAGAAGGGATCCCAAGCGAATAAATCATTGTATAAGTATTCAAAATATGCCAAATAAGATATTATAATTTATATCTAAATGCATTAGTAATAATATATCTAATATACAGAGAGTAATCACACTAACGTGACTGCATCAATGAGAAGATACGTAGGAGCCGTGATGCGGGTTCAAACCTATGCAGTGGGTGTTCCCACACACACGCCCTAGTCAAATAGGCCACAACATGGTATAAGGACTGCAACCTGGAGTTCAACTGAATACACAAGGATTTCCTGAGGCTTCTACTGAAGCTGCAACAGGATTTTCACACAATACCTTCATGCACTATGGCTCTGTCATCCAGGAATGTTCTACCTATATAGTGCTCCTATTTCAATACACGGAGAGTATTTGCTCTCTGTAAATGTGACTAAGACATCTGATACATTCATTCATCTAATCATAAAAAATATTACAATCATGCTTACCTGTCTCTTCCTGGCAGCTCTGGGTGAAGGAGAGTGAGAGCCTCCTGTGTCAGAATCATTAGCGGGAACATTGACGCCGAGGCGAGATGCTGGTGAAGTGGACTCTGAATCCCGGCGAGAGGGTGGACAATCTCTCTCACTGTCACTCGGTGCTAAGGTTGAACGCTGGTCGCTGCAGGGAACCAAACAAGCTGATGTGAGCTTTATCTTGTCAAAACTAGGGAAGGAAGGTGAATTTTATTCAGAAATAATTGTGGTGCACAGTGACAGCTAAGTTAAATAATTGGTTTTCTTCAACTGATAAACAAGTGTGATGGTTGATGATCAAGAATAAATACAAAGAAATAATACTCAGTGTATAAGACACATGGTAATAAGGGAAGAACTTTTATTAAATAAACTCTATAGACTTTATACTAGATGAGCATACAAGAACCACAAACTAATCCATGCAATTTTATTATATGTTTGTATCAATAATAAAACCTGTGTTCTTAAGCATCATATGCTTACCTAGAAAAGGCAGAATCAGAACTCTTGTCTAAGCTAGTTCTCCAAGATTCACGCTTGAAGGATGACCCTCGATCTCGTCCTCTTGTTGTCGATAAGCCACCGGCAGTCCCTCTTTCAACAGCACGATAGAAGTTAACACAGATGCCATATCGAGTTTTACCTTGAAGAAAAAGAAACATTAAGATTAAAACAAAAATAAACACACCAATGTAGTGATCACTTTTACAGTAAGTGGGTTGAATCAAAATGATCAGACCTAGCCTAACCGGACGATATGTGTTTGGAACTTACAGTGTGTTCGGAAGTATTGATATATGTGTTAGAAACTGTTGTGATGTGTGTTAGAAACTGTTGTGATGTGTGTTAGAAACTGTTGTGATGTGTGATAGGAACTTAAAGTGTACCAATTGTTGTGGGTGTACAAAATAATTATAAAGTACGGTACTGTATATATATATATATATGTAGTCTATAAAATTTTAATTTATTGAGGAAAATGACTCGTATGCAAAATGCCTGTTTACACAATGCCATATCTCCATAAAAAATAGCAGTAATCTTTACAACAAAATTGGCATATTGGAAAACATATATTAAAGCTCATTTAACTTGTTTATTTAAAGATAAAACTTTGGAGGTGTGCATGACTTAGAGATAGCTATCAAATATAATAGTAAACAATTAGCTTAAGGTGACTGAAGCACATGGTAAATGCCGCAGATTATAATTTGGGCACAGGGAGAAAATTGCAGATAGTGATTAGAATACAAGAGGAAATGGCAGATAGTGATCAAATCACAGGAGGAAGAACAGAGTAACCTTTTATGTAAATTAAAATAAGATTACAGCAACCAGCAATTTCCCTAAAACAAAATCAAAGCGAATACCAACTTTCTTCAAAACATCTCAAACATGATTCTTTCCACACAAAGGGTAAAAAAAAAACACTCCTCAACAATCTTCCTCCCTCATTCTCCACTTAAACGTGACCCCCCCTTTGAACTTACACTAACAAGCATCTCGCCTTGTTAAAGGTCCGGCCAACACCCCTGTATATTTAGGGGGTATACAACACCCCTAAATAAATATATATTTATTTATATACAAGAAGGTACATATTGGGTTTATGAGAGTACATAGCATTGATGTTTTTACATTCTTGTAAAAAAATGTAAAACAGAACGTAGCAGAACACATATCTAACCCTGCTTGTTTGGCACACACACATGAGTGTGTGTATGCTGATTACCATTGTAAAAGCACTTCAATCACCTAATATGGCTGAGTGCTCAAAAACCCCTTATACTATATGCTGTATAATAATAATAATAATAATAATAATAATAATAATAATAATAATAATAATACTTTATTCATAAGCTAACTCTGCCCACAGAGGGCAGAATAAAATAAAGAAATTGTACAGGGTATAATGCTGATTAGCATATGATAACTGAATGGTATGTGTTTGAAAAAGAAGTTAAAATTAAAAATCCCACTCCAAATTCCTGCCCCCCCCCCTCCCACTCCCCCCTCCGGCCTAGTCTGAATATTTCACAGAGGACAAAGGTGGAATCTTGGAGGTGTAATTAACCTGGTGCCCGAGGCGTCCCTGGAAGGTCGGGGGGGGGGGGGGGGAGGGCGCATTCTTAGCCTGTGTAAACATCTAAATAAATAAATAAATAAATATGTTTATTCAGGTAAGGTACATACATACAAGTGATGTTACATTAATGGATTGATATATAGATAGAGCTAGTACATACAATGCCTAAAGCCACTATTACGCAATGCGTTTCGGGCAAATCTACCTGTATTGACCTGAGGAGGAGGTTGGTACACGGTCATGTGTATCTAAACCTAAAGGTTTAAATGGACCTGAAGGTTTAAATGGACCTAAAGGTTTAAATGAGGACCTAAAGGTTTAAATGGACCTAAAGGTTTAAATGGACCTAAAGGTTTAAATGGACCTAAAGGTTTAAATGAGAACCTAAAGGTTTAAATGGACCTAAAGGTTTAAATGGACCTAAAGGTTTAAATGGACCTAAAGGTTTAAATGGACCTAAAGGTTTAAATGGACCTAAAGGTTTAAATGGACCTAAAGGTTTAACTAACCCTAAAGGTTTATTAAACATCGAAAAGACTTACTACATCTTATTTGGAAGCAAATCATCAAATGCAATTCAGCTACAGATAGACAACATTAACATCAGTAATAAAAATGATGGCAAGTTTCTTGGCCTATTCCTAGACAAGAGACTCAACTCCAGCACCCACATTCAACACATAACTAAGAAAGTCTCTAAGACAGTTGGTATACTCTCCAAAATCAGATATTATGTTCCTAACTCTGCTCTCCTTTCACTATATTATGCACTAATCTACCCCTATCTTAATTATGGTATCTGTGCATGGGGGTCTACTACTGCAAACCACCTTAAGCCCATCATCACACAGCAAAAATCTGCTATCAGAATAATAACTAACTCTGCTTTCAGACAACACTCAGCTCCCTTGTTTAAATCCCTAAACTTGCTAAATATTAACTCCCTCCACACATTCTCTTGTGTCAACTACATTTACAAAACCCTGTTCTTAAATGCAAACCATGCTCTGAAACTCTCCCTGGACAGATGTAATAGGACCCATTATCACCACACCAGAAATAAATATCTCTTTGATATCCCCAGGGTCAAACTTAATCTGTGTAAACACTCTATGCAAATTAAGGGACCTAGTCTATGGAACTCACTCCCTAGTGAATTGAAAAACTGTAAAACTTTTGCCTTATTTAAAAGCAAAACCAAAAAGTACCTAACTTCATCTTCTTAGTTTCCTACACTGAGCTTTAAATTTGCTCTGTACCTAGTGTTACCCAATCTCCTAATTTTTATGTAATATCAAACAACCTTATCATTGTGTTCATTGCTGTCCTCTTTTATGTGCTAGCCATATGCTGTATTGTGACTACCAATTTTTGTCAACTACCATTCAAGCTGTCATTGCAATCAATCTTATATTGTTTCTGCTGTATTGTGCCTACCAATTTGTTGTCAACTACCATTTTAAGCTGTCATTGCAATCAATCTTAGCTACCTAGGTGCTTTAATATACTGTACCTACAATTTTCTCTCATCTTTTTTTTTTTTTTCCATTTCATGTAATCTGTTATCATTTTTTTGTCTATAAATTTTGCAAGTATTTACCTCCTTAAAATTTTCTTAGATTAAGGACCTGCCCGAAACGCTGCGCGTGCTAGTGGCTTTACAAGACTGTAATTACCATATTTGTATCCTCACATTCCTTATGTACATTTTTGTATATGCATAAATAAATAAATAAATAAATAAATAAATGGACCTAAAGGTTTAACTAACCCTAAAGGTTTAAATGGACCTAAAGGTTTAAATGGACCTAAAGGTTTAACTAACCCTAAAGGTTTAAATGGACCTAAAGGTTTAAATGGACCTAAAGGTTTAAAGGAGAACCTAAAGATTCTCACTTAAATGTACTTGCAGGGGGTCCTGGTTGATACCTGGTTGATGGGGTTCTGGGAGTTCTTCTACTCCCCAAGCCCGGCCCGAGGCCAGGCTTGACTTGTGAGAGTTTGGTCCACCAGGCTGTTGCTTGGAGCGGCCCGCAGGCCCACATACCCACCACAGCCAGGTTGGTCCGGCACTCCTTGAAGGAAACAATCTAGTTTCCTCTTGATGATGTCCACGGTTGTTCCTGTAATATTTCTGATGCTCGCTGGTAGGACGATGACCTGATTGTGCGGCTGATCCTCTGAATTGACAGTACACTTTCTTACTGTCATAAACAGTGCATAATGGCACTTATGGGGCTGTTAAATTTACCCAACTCCCTCCCCCTATTTAATTTGCCTTGTTTTCTGTTTATACACTCTTAACTACAATTTCAACTGGCAATGCACAAGTTTTAAATATCAGGAATTTCTTTTTCAGGTTTATTAAACAATATAGATTTTATACAAAATTTTAAAATATCCTGAGTTACTTTACAATTTATTGATATATTTTAAATTTATTTTATTAGTTTTATAAAACTGTAATATCAATATAGCTATAGGTTAAGTACTAATTGTAATTAAGAAGCAATAAAACTATCATCTTCAAAAACTAAGACGGTTAGGTGAGGTTGTGGTTTTCTATTCAGTTTTTCAGGTAAACTCAAATATTCACAATATATTTGAGAGTACGATTTAATACTAAGTGAAAATAAGTACAATTCCTAACTGCTATGAATAGTACATAATTGCACTTAATTTGTCTTCTTCACTGGTTCTATTCTGCATTTTCTTCCATGTCGTTCACTCCAGTACGTTGTTATTTTACTGTGCAGATTTGGGACCTGTCCCTCCAGTATTTTCCATGTGTATATTATTTGGCATCTCTCTCGTCTCCTTTCTAGTGAGTACAATTGGAGAGCTTTGAGACGATCCCAATAATTTAGGTGCTTAATCTCGTCTATGCGTGCCGTATAGGGTCGAGCGCAAACTCCTGAGCCCCGTCATACCCGCTGCCTTATGTCTATTGAAGTGTGTCCCAAGTCCCAACCCTCTTTGTTTCTTGTCATATCTAAGCTCAGAAATATTTACTGCCTTAGCTTTCTCTATTGTCTCTCTCTATTGCCATTGTCTCTCTATTGTGTCTTTCTCTACTGTCATTCTCTCTCTCTCTTCAATTCTTTTCGTTTGCCTCTTGTAACATTCCTGTGATTCACCTGAGCCTCAAGTTTCCATCCACGTTCCCTTGTTATAATCTGCCTTACGTTGATATGTCCTCTTTATCAACCTCGCCAACTTTGCTGCGAATCTTATATGTCGTTATCATGTCTCCTCGATTCCTTCTCACTTCAAGTGTGGTAATGTTCAGTCTCTCATAGACACAAGGGCAAAGGTCTGCAGCACAGTTACAGCCCCGCTCCTGTGCCAGGAGCTGGGCATAATCCTGGAGTATGCGGCCCCAGCATGGAGCCCGTACCCTGTCAAGCACAAGACGAAGCTGGAGAAAGTTCAGAGGTATACCACTAGGCTAGTCCCAGAATTAAGAGGCATGAGTTACAAGGAGAAGCTGCGTGAATTGTACCTCACGTCGCTGGAAGACAGAGCTCGGGGAGACATGATCACAACATACAAAA